CCCACAGTATTCTTCCCCACCCAAAACTCAGTCCAGAACACTTTGTCAGAATCAGAAAGGGTTAGAGGAACAGAAACAGATTTGTGAAACACCTTTTTGCCATTTAGGCCTTCTATATACAAAGTTTCAGAAGTGATCTCAAGATCGAGATCAGTAATCGATACTGTAGCACCCGTGTCAATTAAAGCAATGCATTGCCGGCCTCCTAACAACGCGTTTATGAATGGACGGGTGTCAGCATAATTACTATTACCGGAGGCCGCTGACCCCTAGTCCCCACCTATCAGCTGTTTCAGCTTTGCAAGATCAGCTTGAGACAGAGTGACAGATGGGGAAGCTTCTTTTTTATCATTTGAAGCATTATTTTTGTTACCTCCCTTTTTCCCGTTTCCTTTATTCTTGGGTCTACGGCAATGTTTCGCAATGTGACCTTCCCTTCCACAATTTCTACATTTAGCAACTGACTTGGGACAGGTTCGGGAAGTGTGGCCTAACTCATCACAGTTATAGCATGTCACATCATTGCGGGGAGGGGCCTCCCCTTCAACTGAAACAGCAGCCGCTTTCACAGTGCTCACAGTATCAGCATCGCATGCTTGCATACGGCTCCAGCTCACAGAGCACCAACGGAGCAAATCTGCCCACATTTGGATATCAACAGCACTGTTCATCAACATATCTTTGTATTGCTTATTCAGACCGCCTGTGGCTGATTCGATTACTATAGCAGAATCAAAATCTTCATCATTGTTATTAGCAGCACAGTAGGTCTCATATGCAATACGGAACCGGTCCACATATTCTATCGGGCTTTCACCGGTTCTCTGTTTAATCTGGGTCACACTACTCCACGGAAAAGAACCCCGACCCAGCAATTCTTTCACAGCTGTTTTATAATCAGAATAAGCCACACAAAACTCACCCCAATTTGCAGGGACCCGAGGGAAAAAGTTCACACCCTGGACAGCCCTTAATTTGGAAGAAGGAACTAACCCTTCGACCAGCGACTGGATATCAGCAATGCCTAGATTTTGTTGCCTAGCAACAGCCTCTAGCTTGTCCCATAGACTTTTGTTTGGGTTATACAACTTAAAAGGTTCCAACCCTGCAAGCAAACTGTTTTTCTCAGTGGGTGTGAGTCTGACCCATTGACCATCCTCACATCCTGCACCCATTTCAATATTCAACCCGGCCCAGTTCGTGTGTCGAATCGGGGCGGCGGATGCAGTAACATTAGGTTTAAATGCCTCCATGGGAGTCAGATTAAGATTTTTGACCCCAGAGTTATATTTAGTTTGTTTTGCTTGCACAGAAGGAATCTCTGAACTGTAGGGAGGGGGAGTTGCAACAGCCACATTCAACAGCCCGCGTACCTCAGCGTAGGGCCCACTATTTTGGTTATCAGTCTGTCTGGCAGAGCCTGAAGCGGCAGCCGCCTGAACAGAGTGAGAAGGGAAAGAGGGGGCGGAGGGAGTAGGAACTTCCTCCTTTTTTACAGCCTTTTCTGCCATTTCACACAATGCCTCAAGCCCTTTGCTCAAACTACACAGATCACTGCCTATTTCATTCCCAAGGATTTTAGCCATCCTGTCACGTTGGGCAATTAAACTCTTCCAACCATTAATCATGTTCGGGATTGCCTTTTCAGGGGTTAAGGGAATTCCACCCATTTTACAAATCCATGAATAGGCAAACACGGACAAAAACTTCACTCTGTCAGCCTCTTTCTTTTTTTGCAGCCAGTCAATCTGTTCTGTGACTCCCCAATTAGCATCAAAACCCTGGCTGACCATTTTCTTAATCAGTTCTGCGTATTTTTTTGATTTGAGCGCATCAGAGAAGAGCTGTTTACAGCATGCACTCTCTTCAGCCTCATCACTTGGGTCAGAACAAATTGAGATAACCTTTTTATCTGTCATTGTTGGTCACAGGTGAAACTCACCACAGAGAATGTTCTTAGCAGCAAAAATGTTTTAGCAGCGAATTGAAAAATATGTTTTAAATGACAAGTCTGGACTTCTACACAAAGAAACCACAAAGTATTTTTCACTCACGACTCCCGATCATATATTCTGATCCATGCCAATTTGGGTCATAATTTATTTAAGGGGATCGTTCTTGATGCATCCCTGGCAAACAACCCTGTCTCTGTTACTATATATATATATATATATTTTTTCTAACTAATTTCTCAGTCCCTAACTGCCTAATCCACTAAATTCGGGGATCCCCTTTCTGAGATGGAAGAGATATAGTAGGATCACGGCGCCCTGGACCTTCAATCCAGGGACGTACTCTGCTGGGGTGTTGCTATATCAACAATGCCCAGTGGGGCCCCCACAGAGCACGCTTCGCTTGCGCTGTCTGCTCTTGTTAAATTTTTAAACAATGCTATCAGCGACTTCCTTTTATACTTTAACCTTCAGTATAATTAATCTTCACTCTCCTCATCGGAGTGAAGCTCTTCCGTTCCCCTTCAAATCTCTTCCATTCAGACAGACCTATAGCCTATAATATAATAAATCTTCCTACCTTGTTTGTTGGTTTGCCAGGGGTGTCACCTCAGAATGATTGCCCACGCCTTCTCCACCAAACTGTTAGGGGGGGTAACAGTTTCAGACCCAGGACCAGAGATGATGAAAGAAGACCAGGAGTCGTGATGTTCAATCAAAGAGTAAAATTTACTGAAGAATAGTTTGCAGTTTAATTGGCAGAGTCAGCGTCAAAGTCTCACGAGGAGGTCGCAAGCTAACTCTACCTTACATGAAAATCGTACACCAGTTATACTGTTTTCAAGGGCATACATTACATAAACATTCACTTCTGATTGGCTCAGAAGACATAAAGCCTAAACAATTACACATAGATAGAAGGGTACGTTGACATCAATCAAGATAGCTGTCATCCAAGTCACGAAGATCCAGTAATGACCTCGGAGGGCCCATCGAAAAGCGTCATGAGACCAGCCACCCCATGTCATGAGACCTGCAACATACTGATAAAACCTTCCATCCTCAGAGAGAAGAAATAACAATTACTTTACTTCTTGAGAAATATATGTATGAAAGAAGTAAAACAAATCATAGAATCATACAGAAATTGACCCCTGCCCATTAATAGGGTCAGCAGAGAAACATGATCATATGATGAGGGTTTTCTTTAAGTTTAACACACTCATTAGTATACATACGGACAAAAAGCCTGTATTTAATGTTCTTGCTCAGGGCCACAGAAGATTAGTCCCAGACATCATAAGACATTCATGAAAGATAGGCCTTCACCCAACATTCAGGAAAGAGGTGCATTCAACAGAAGTATGAATAAAAACTATATGTGAATCATTTATTGCGTATAGGAATGATTATATAACTTGATTAGTGCTTATTATAGTAATAATGTAATCATAAAAAAGGATATACATATAGTTAAATTGAAGAGGCAAGGGATTCTGACCCCAACCCTTCAGGGGTGTTTTGTTGAATATTAGGAAGGTTTGTTGGATCTAATGCAATTTGTGGGATTTAATATAAGCAATAGTGGGATTTGAACCCAAGCCTTTAACACAGCCTCACCCACAACTGATGTGTTTAGCCACTGCACCATCATGGGTCTTACACTGAGTGCTGGCATTTGGGGTGTTTTATTGAGAGATCTGTTTTATATGATTAAAAACTCTTTGCAATTGTGGGATTTGAACCCAAGCTTGCAAGTGGGAAAGAGATGTTTATCCACCGAGCCATACAATATGTGTTTATGTATTAGTGTGTTTTAGGGTCTTTTATGCATTTATTTTCTTTTGTTTTGAACCAGCTTTTCAAAGCTAGCATCAAACTGGACATGTCATGTGATTTCAGGAAACGAGGTTTCTTCACATCATACTGTTTCGAAACATTTGGACATTTTGATGGTTCTTGGTTTGATGGAATTTATTAAATTATACAGTTTGTACATACACTTCATATTTAATAGTATTTAATTATTTGTAAATTGCATTTAATAAATTACACTTTAATGGAAATATACAGTGTCATCATTGCACATGTTTGGGCTGTTCTCGTTGCATTGACACTATTTTGACCAGCATGTTTCACTTTCCTCAGCTGAAGTATCCCACAGGCTTCATGTGTATCTCAGCTTTATCAACTCATTCACAGCAAGAGTGGGATTATAAATATATATACTTAGAAATGTACTATATCATTTCTGTTTAACTTGCTCCAATGTACACGGATATGGTGATTCGTCTAAACTTGTTATGTTTATAATGGGTTTTAATAATACAATTATTAGTTTGCTTGGTGTAATAATTAGAGTTACGGCTCTCTATCCAGGCGCTCCCCTTACTTTCATTCCTCAAAATTCCTTCCGTCTCTTTAATCCTGCTGGTGTCATCAATTATTAATGCAGATATACTTCATGTCCACAAGGAGGAGCTGTATATCTGCAAATACCAACACAACAACGACTCGAAATCATTGTTTAATTGTGAACAAAAAGACAAAGATCACGTTAAGTCCAAAGATTCAAAAAGCTTCTTTACTCATAAACAAACCATTCAAGAAGTCTAGTAATGTCTTTTGTTCCTTTATTTGTGTTTCGGCCATATGTGACTGTCAGTTCAACACATCAGACGTTTGATCTGTCTCTTACCCTTCAGTCGAGCTGATCTGAGTCAATTAACTAGTAGATTCCAACTTAGATTCCAGATCCTGACAAAATCACGGATTTACTTTAAAATATGTGAAAATTAAACATTTCTGTCGTCTCACCAAAGACGGCCAGTTTGAGTTTGGCCTTTCATCTATTAACGCTGTTGATGCACTTATTGGCCACAGGAGGGAGCTGGTGATCAGCTGTCTTGTATTATTTAACGTAATAAATAGGATTTTTTGAGTATGACATTTTTTAAGTAAGCTGGACGCATACGAACTAAAGTCAATGACCCAACCTGAAGTAATTTTCGGTCTGTTGGTGGTAATTATTACACGATTCGTCTGGTAGAAACTGTGCAGTTTGCCATCCGCTCCTCTAGGCGGCGTAAGCGCGCTTCAGGTTCAGCATGACACCTTTGGATTCCTGTCAACAACAACATGACACCTGATGACAGTCGCCACAACACGTTCTGGTAGTTTTAAGGCCATTAAAGTACAAACCCTGCAGATGACAGCTCAGTGACAGACTCGTAATGTCACTTAACAACACATTTTTCAGCCCATCTGCAAAAACAACCGACACACACTGTTATAAAGTGCAGGAATCAAGAATGTCACGCGACTCACCTGTAAGTCTCTTTCCACATGAAGTGCTTTTCTCTTGTAATGTCACTACCACACATTATTTAGCAATCATCATTTGAATTTGATTTAAGTTTGTGTTGATGCATCATTCTCCTATGTGTCAGAGCACGGGTTTAATGTGTTTGCTGGATTATTTTGATGATGCTGCTCTTTCTGTGTCAGACAGACACTCATTCTCTGTTTAAAAGTCTAACTTTAACCCTGCTGTTGCATGATCTTTATCATGTGAATCTAAGGAGGTGATTCCTATAAGGCTTATAAAGTAGAACAATTAGCAGTATAGCTGGTGTTGTGGTGGTGTCACTGTGTAGTTAATAGTCTGCTGGATTCATGTTTAATAATAGAGTTAGTTGGTGTTCTGTGAAGCTCTGATGTTCTTGCTAATTTACACAGTTCAGGTTTTCATTCCACAGCATTTGGTCATGAAGTCTTTTGAATCTTTATCTTTTGTTTTGTAGATCTGGCATTCTCTGACTCAACACTTTAACAGAGTCGTTGCCCCTCGACTTTCTGGGCTTTGGTTTTTCAGACAAACCGGTAAGATGAAAGACTCACAGCCATTCCAAGTAGTCAATACAAAGCTCTGTCTATACAATTTATTTTAGTATTCATAATTTAATAAAAGCTGTTCAAATGGCATACACTGAAAGGGTGTTGATTTTTTTTTGGGGGGGGGGGGCATAAATGTGTAAATTAAGATTGTTTGTGCAGTTATAACATGTAACGTTTATATTTACAATATAGAGCGAGCTCTTTGTTGATTATGTGTTTGCCCCACAGAATAAGAGATGTGTTTGGACCGTTACACCCAGTGACGTGTGGACAGACATTCACAGTTTGATGGACATCTGCTCAGACACAGGTAGGCTAATGCTTCTAACATGTCAGTGTGTGTTGTTGGCGTGTAAATGTGTAGGTTACCATCATTTTCTTTTTGAAGGGTCACTCCTTTGAAAAGCAAATGATGGTAACCTAAGTAGGTGGGGAAGGGACGGTGAATGACATTTTTTTTCATAGCCTTTTTAATTTTTTTCAGTTAAAAGCATAACCACTGCTGGACATCGTGCGGGAGCTCAGGGGGGGACCCCATGATCCCCCACACCTTCTCACTCACACCACAGCATTCATTCATATCGCAGAGATCTGGCTGGAGTCGAACCAGCAACCTCTGAAACCGTGAGGCAGCGCTCTTACCTGTGAGCCACAGATCTCTTGTCTGGACATGTGAAGGAACTTATATTTCACTATTCACCTGTATGTGAGCTGGGATTTTACAATAAACCAGTTAAAGCCAAGCTGCCGAAGTGGGATTTGAACCCAAGCCTTTATCGCAGACTCTTTCTCAACTGACGTGTGTTTAGCCGCTGCACCATCATGGTTCTCACGCTGAGTGCTGGCATTAGGGGTGTTTTGTTGAATATTAGGAAGGTTTGTTGGATCTAATGCAATTTGTGGGATTTAATATAAGCGATAGTGGGATTTGAACCCAAGCCTTTAACACAGCCTCACCCACAACTGATGTGTTTAGCCACTGCACCATCATGGGTCTTACACTGAGTGCTGGCATTTGGGGTGTTTTATTGAGAGATCTGTTTTATATGATTAAAAACTCTTTGCAATTGTGGGATTTGAACCCAAGCTTGCAAGTGGGAAAGAGATGTTTATCCACCGAGCCATACAATATGTGTTTATGTATTAGTGTGTTTTAGGGTCTTTTATGCATTTATTTTCTTTTGTTTTGAACCAGCTTTTCAAAGCTAGCATCAAACTGGACATGTCATGTGATTTCAGGAAACGAGGTTTCTTCACATCATACTGTTTCGAAACATTTGGACATTTTGATGGTTCTTGGTTTGATGGAATTTATTAAATTATACAGTTTGTACATACACTTCATATTTAATAGTATTTAATTATTTGTAAATTGCATTTAATAAATTACACTTTAATGGAAATATACAGTGTCATCATTGCACATGTTTGGGCTGTTCTCGTTGCATTGACACTATTTTGACCAGCATGTTTCACTTTCCTCAGCTGAAGTATCCCATAGGCTTCATGTGTATCTCAGCTTTATCAACTCATTCACAGCAAGAGTGGGATTATAAATATATATACTTAGAAATGTACTATATCATTTCTGTTTAACTTGCTCCAATGTACACGGATATGGTGATTCGTCTAAACTTGTTATGTTTATAATGGGTTTTAATAATACAATTATTAGTTTGCTTGGTGTAATAATTAGAGTTACGGCTCTCTATCCAGGCGCTCCCCTTACTTTCATTCCTCAAAATTCCTTCCGTCTCTTTAATCCTGCTGGTGTCATCAATTATTAATGCAGATATACTTCATGTCCACAAGGAGGAGCTGTATATCTGCAAATACCAACACAACAACGACTCGAAATCATTGTTTAATTGTGAACAAAAAGACAAAGATCACGTTAAGTCCAAAGATTCAAAAAGCTTCTTTACTCATAAACAAACCATTCAAGAAGTCTAGTAATGTCTTTTGTTCCTTTATTTGTGTTTCGGCCATATGTGACTGTCAGTTCAACACATCAGACGTTTGATCTGTCTCTTACCCTTCAGTCGAGCTGATCTGAGTCAATTAACTAGTAGATTCCAACTTTATCTGCTGGTCCAGATCCTGACAAAATCACGGATTTACTTTAAAATATGTGAAAATATTAAACATTTCTGTCGTCTCACCAAAGACGGCCAGTTTGAGTTTGGCCTTTCATCTATTAACGCTGTTGATGCACTTATTGGCCACAGGAGGGAGCTGGTGATCAGCTGTCTTGTATTATTTAACGTAATAAATAGGATTTTTTGAGTATGACATTTTTTAAGTAAGCTGGACGCATAAGAACTAAAGTCAATGACCCAACCTGAAGTAATTTTCGGTCTGTTGGTGGTAATTATTACACGATTCGTCTGGTAGAAACTGTGCAGTTTGCCATCCGCTCCTCTAGGCGGCGTAAGCGCGCTTCAGGTTCAGCATGACACCTTTGGATTCCTGTCAACAACAACATGACACCTGATGACAGTCGCCACAACACGTTCTGGTAGTTTTAAGGCCATTAAAGTACAAACCCTGCAGATGACAGCTCAGTGACAGACTCGTAATGTCACTTAACAACACATTTTTCAGCCCATCTGCAAAAACAACCGACACACACTGTTATAAAGTGCAGGAATCAAGAATGTCACGCGACTCACCTGTAAGTCTCTTTCCACATGAAGTGCTTTTCTCTTGTAATGTCACTACCACACATTATTTAGCAATCATCATTTGAATTTGATTTAAGTTTGTGTTGATGCATCATTCTCCTATGTGTCAGAGCACGGGTTTAATGTGTTTGCTGGATTATTTTGATGATGCTGCTCTTTCTGTGTCAGACAGACACTCATTCTCTGTTTAAAAGTCTAACTTTAACCCTGCTGTTGCATGATCTTTATCATGTGAATCTAAGGAGGTGATTCCTATAAGGCTTATAAAGTAGAACAATTAGCAGTATAGCTGGTGTTGTGGTGGTGTCACTGTGTAGTTAATAGTCTGCTGGATTCATGTTTAATAATAGAGTTAGTTGGTGTTCTGTGAAGCTCTGATGTTCTTGCTAATTTACACAGTTCAGGTTTTCATTGCACAGCATTTGGTCATGAAGTCTTTTGAATCTTTATCTTTTGTTTTGTAGATCTGGCATTCTCTGACTCAACACTTTAACAGAGTCGTTGCCCCTAGACTTCCTGGGCTTTGGTTTTTCAGACAAACCGGTAAGATGAAAGACTCACAGCCATTCCAAGTAGTCAATACAAAGCTCTGTCTATACAATTTATTTTAGTATTCATAATTTATTAAAAGCTTTTTAAATGGCATACACTGAAAGGGTGTTGGTTTTATTTTGTGGGGGGGGGGCATAAATGTGTAAATTAAGATTGTTTGTGCAGTTATAACATGTAACGTTTATATTTACAATATAGAGCGAGCTCTTTGTTGATTATGTGTTTGCCCCACAGAATAAGAGATGTGTTTGGACCGTTACACCCAGTGACGTGTGGACAGACATTCACAGTTTGATGGACATCTGCTCAGACACAGGTAGGCTAATGCTTCTAACATGTCAGTGTGTGTTGTTGGCGTGTAAATGTGTAGTGGTGACCATCATTTTCTTTTTAAAGGGTCACTCTTTTGAAAAGCAAATGATGGTAACCTAAGTAGGTGGGGAAGGGACGGTGAGTGAATTTTTTTTTCATAGCCTTTTTAATTTTTTTCAGTTAAAAGCATAACCGCTGCTGGACATCGTGCGGGAGCTCAGGGGGGGACCCCATGATCCCCCACACCTTCTCACTCACACCACAGCATTCATTCATATCGCAGAGATCTGGCTGGAGTCGAACCAGCAACCTCTGAAACCGTGAGGCAGCGCTCTTACCTGTGAGCCACAGATCTCTTGTCTGGACATGTGAAGGAACTTATATTTCACTATTCACCTGTATGTGAGCTGGGATTTTACAATAAACCAGTTAAAGCCAAGCTGCCCAAGTGGGATTTGAACCCAAGCCTTTATCGCAGCCTCTTTCTCAACTGACGTGTGTTTAGCCGCTGCACCATCATGGTTCTCACGCTGAGTGCTGGCATTAGGGGTGTTTTGTTGAATATTAGGAAGGTTTGTTGGATCTAATGCAATTTGTGGGATTTAATATAAGCGATAGTGGGATTTGAACCCAAGCCTTTAACACAGCCTCACCCACAACTGATGTGTTTAGCCACTGCACCATCATGGGTCTCACACTGAGTGCTGGCATTTGGGGTGTTTTATTGAGAGATCTGTTTTATATGATTAAAAACTCTTTGCAATTGTGGGATTTGAACCCAAGCTTGCAAGTGGGAAAGAGATGTTTATCCACCGAGCCATACAATATGTGTTTATGTATTAGTGTGTTTTAGGGTCTTTTATGCATTTATTTTCTTTTGTTTTGAATCAGCTTTTCAAAGCTAGCATCAAACTGGACATGTCATGTGATTTCAGGAAACGAGGTTTCTTCACATCATACTGTTTCGAAACATTTGGACATTTTGATGGTTCTTGGTTTGATGGAATTTATTAAATTATACAGTTTGTACATACACTTCATATTTAATAGTATTTAATGATTTGTACATTGAATTTAATAAATTACACTTTAATGGAAATATACAGTGTCATCATTGCACATGTTTGGGCTGTTCTCGTTGCATTGACACTATTTTGACCAGCATGTTTCACTTTCCTCAGCTGAAGTATCCCACAGGCTTCATGTGTATCTCAGCTTTATCAACTCATTCACAGCAAGAGTGGGATTATAAATATATATACTTAGAAATGTACTACATCATTTCTGTTTAACTTGCTCCAATGTACACGGATATGGTGATTCGTCTAAACTTGTTATGTTTATATTGGGTTTTAATAATACAATTATTAGTTTGCTTGGTGTAATAATTAGAGTTACGGCTCTCTATCCAGGCGCTCCCCTTCCTTTCACTCCTCAAAATTCCTTCCGTCTCTTTAATCCTGCTGGTGTCATCAATTATTAATGCAGATATACTTCATGTCCACAAGGAGGAGCTGTATATCTGCAAATACCAACACAACAACGACTCGAAATCATTGTTTAATTGTGAACAAAAAGACAAAGATCACGTTAAGTCCAAAGATTCAAAAAGCTTCTTTACTCATAAACAAACCATTCAAGAAGTCTAGTAATGTCTTTTGTTCCTTTATTTGTGTTTCGGCCATATGTGACTGTCAGTTCAACACATCAGACGTTTGATCTGTCTCTTACCCTTCAGTCGAGCTGATCTGAGTCAATTAACTAGTAGATTCCAACTTTATCTGCTGGTCCAGATCTTGACAAAATCACGGATTTACTTTAAAATATGTAAAAATTAAACATTTCTGTCGTCTCACCAAAGACGGCCAGTTTGAGTTTGGCCTCTCATCTATTAACGCTGTTGATGCACTTATTGGCCACAGGAGGGAGCTGGTGATCAGCTGTCTTGTATTATTTAACGTAATAAATAGGATTTTTTGAGTATGACATTTTTTAAGTAAGCTGGACGCATACGAACTAAAGTCAATGACCCAACCTGAAGTAATTTTCGGTCTGTTGGTGGTAATTATTACACGATTCGTCTGGTAGAAACTGTGCAGTTTGCCATCCGCTCCTCTAGGCGGCGTAAGCGCGCTTCAGGTTCAGCATGACACCTTTGGATTCCTGTCAACAACAACATGACACCTGATGACAGTCGCCACAACACGTTCTGGTAGTTTTAAGGCCATTAAAGTACAAACCCTGCAGATGACAGCTCAGTGACAGACTCGTAATGTCACTTAACAACACATTTTTCAGCCCATCTGCAAAAACAACCGACACACACTGTTATAAAGTGTAGGAATCAAGAATGTCACGCGACTCACCTGTAAGTCTCTTTCCACATGAAGTGCTTTTCTCTTGTAATGTCACTACCACACATTATTTAGCAATCATCATTTGAATTTGATTTAAGTTTGTGTTGATGCATCATTCTCCTATGTGTCAGAGCACGGGTTTAATGTGTTTGCTGGATTATTTTGATGATGCTGCTCTTTCTGTGTCAGACAGACACTCATTCTCTGTTTAAAAGTCTAACTTTAACCCTGCTGTTGCATGATCTTTATCATGTGAATCTAAGGAGGTGATTCCTATAAGGCTTATAAAGTAGAACAATTAGCAGTATAGCTGGTGTTGTGGTGGTGTCACTGTGTAGTTAATAGTCTGCTGGATTCATGTTTAATAATAGAGTTAGTTGGTGTTCTGTGAAGCTCTGATGTTCTTGCTAATTTACACAGTTCAGGTTTTCATTGCACAGCATTTGGTCATGAAGTCTTTTGAATCTTTATCTTTTGTTTTGTAGATCTGGCATTCTCTGACTCAACACTTTAACAGAGTCGTTGCCCCTAGACTTCCTGGGCTTTGGTTTTTCAGACAAACCGGTAAGATGAAAGACTCACAGCCATTCCAAGTAGTCAATACAAAGCTCTGTCTATACAATTTATTTTAGTATTCATAATTTAATAAAAGCTGTTCAAATGGAATACACTGAAAGGGTGTTGATTTATTTTTTGGGGGGGGGGGGCATAAATGTGTAAATTAAGATTGTTTGTGCAGTTATAACATGTAACGTTTATATTTACAATATAGAGCGAGCTCTTTGTTGATTATGTGTTTGCCCCACAGAATAAGAGATGTGTTTGGACCGTTACACCCAGTGACGTGTGGACAGACATTCACAGTTTGATGGACATCTGCTCAGACACAGGTAGGCTAATGCTTCTAACATGTCAGTGTGTGTTGTTGGTGTGTAAATGTGTAGGTTACCATCATTTTCTTTTTGAAGGGTCACTCCTTTGAAAAGCAAATGATGGTAACCTAAGTAGGTGGGGAAGGGACGGTGAATGACATTTTTTTTCATAGCCTTTTTAATTTTTTTCAGTTAAAAGCATAACCGCTGCTGGACATCGTGCGGGAGCTCAGGGGGGGACCCCATGATCCCCCACACCTTCTCACTCACACCACAGCATTCATTCATATCGCAGAGATCTGGCTGGAGTCGAACCAGCAACCTCTGAAACCGTGAGGCAGCGCTCTTACCTGTGAGCCACAGATCTCTTGTCTGGACATGTGACGGAACTTATATTTCACTATTCACCTGTATGTGAGCTGGGATTTTACAATAAACCAGTTAAAGCCAAGTGGGATTTGAACCCAAGCCTTTATCGCAGACTCTTTCTCAACTGACGTGTGTTTAGCCGCTGCACCATCATGGTTCTCACGCTGAGTGCTGGCATTAGGGGTGTTTTGTTGAATATTAGGAAGGTTTGTTGGATCTAATGCAATTTGTGGGATTTAATATAAGCGATAGTGGGATTTGAACCCAAGCCTTTAACACAGCCTCACCCACAACTGATGTGTTTAGCCACTGCACCATCATGGGTCTCACACTGAGTGCTGGCATTTGGGGTGTTTTATTGAGAGATCTGTTTTATATGATTAAAAACTCTTTGCAATTGTGGGATTTGAACCCAAGCTTGCAAGTGGGAAAGAGATGTTTATCCACTGAGCCATACAATATGTGTTTATGTATTAGTGTGTTTTAGGGTCTTTTATGCATTTATTTTCTTTTGTTTTGAACCAGCTTTTCAAAGCTAGCATCAAACTGGACATGTCATGTGATTTCAGGAAACGAGGTTTCTTCACATCATACTGTTTCGAAACATTTGGACATTTTGATGGTTCTTGGTTTGATGGAATTTATTAAATTATACAGTTTGTACATACACTTCATATTTAATAGTATTTAATGATTTGTAAATTGCATTTAATAAATTACACTTTAATGGAAATATACAGTGTCATCATTGCACATGTTTGGGCTGTTCTCGTTGCATTGACACTATTTTGACCAGCATGTTTCACTTTCCTCAGCTGAAGTATCCCACAGGCTTCATGTGTATCTCAGCTTTATCAACTCATTCACAGCAAGAGTGGGATTATAAATATATATACTTAGAAATGTACTATATCATTTCTGTTTAACTTGCTCCAATGTACACGGATATGGTGATTCGTCTAAACTTGTTATGTTTATAATGGGTTTTAATAATACAATTATTAGTTTGCTTGGTGTAATAATTAGAGTTACGGCTCTCTATCCAGGCGCTCCCCTTACTTTTATTCCTCAAAATTCCTTCCGTCTCTTTAATCCTGCTGGTGTCATCAATTATTAATGCAGATATACTTCATGTCCACAAGGAGGAGCTGTATATCTGCAAATACCAACACAACAACGACTCGAAATCATTGTTTAATTGTGAACAAAAAGACAAAGATCACGTTAAGTCCAAAGATTCAAAAAGCTTCTTTACTCATAAACAAACCATTCAAGAAGTCTAGTAATGTCTTTTGTTCCTTTATTTGTGTTTCGGCCATATGTGACTGTCAGTTCAACACATCAGACGTTTGATCTGTCTCTTACCCTTCAGTCGAGCTGATCTGAGTCAATTAACTAGTAGATTCCAACTTTATCTGCTGGTCCAGATCCTGACAAAATCACGGATTTACTTTAAAATATGTGAAAATTAAACATTTCTGTCGTCTCACCAAAGACGGCCAGTTTGAGTTTGGCCTTTCATCTATTAACGCTGTTGATGCACTTATTGGCCACAGGAGGGAGCTGGTGATCAGCTGTCTTGTATTATTTAACGTAATAAATAGGATTTTTTGAGTATGACATTTTTTAAGTAAGCTGGACGCATAAGAACTAAAGTCAATGACCCAACCTGAAGTAATTTTCGGTCTGTTGGTGGTAATTATTACACGATTCGTCTGGTAGAAACTGTGCAGTTTGCCATCCGCTCCTCTAGGCGGCGTAAGCGCGCTTCAGGTTCAGCATGACACCTTTGGATTCCTGTCAACAACAACATGACACCTGATGACAGTCGCCACAACACGTTCTGGTAGTTTTAAGGCCATTAAAGTACAAACCCTGCAGATGACAGCTCAGTGACAGACTCGTAATGTCACTTAACAACACATTTTTCAGCCCATCTGCAAAAACAACCGACACACACTGTTATAAAGTGTAGGAATCAAGAATGTCACGCGACTCACCTGTAAGTCTCTTTCCACATGAAGTGCTTTTCTCTTGTAATGTCACTACCACACATTATTTAGCAATCATCATTTGAATTTGATTTAAGTTTGTGTTGATGCATCATTCTCCTATGTGTCAGAGCACGGGTTTAATGTGTTTGCTGGATTATTTTGATGATGCTGCTCTTTCTGTGTCAGACAGACACTCATTCTCTGTTTAAAAGTCTAACTTTAACCCTGCTGTTGCATGATCTTTATCATGTGAATCTAAGGAGGTGATTCCTATAAGGCTTATAAAGTAGAACAATTAGCAGTATAGCTGGTGTTGTGGTGGTGTCACTGTGTAGTTAATAGTCTGCTGGATTCATGTTTAATAATAGAGTTAGTTGGTGTTCTGTGAAGCTCTGATGTTCTTGCTAATTTACACAGTTCAGGTTTTCATTCCACAGCATTTGGTCATGAAGTCTTTTGAATCTTTATCTTTTGTTTTGTAGATCTGGGATTCTCTGAGTCAACGCTTTAACAGAGTCGTTGCCCCTCGACTTCCTGGGCTTTGGTTTTTCAGACAGACAAACCGGTAAGATGAAAGACTCACAGCCATTCCAAGTAGTCATTACACTCCTCCAGTGCCACAAATGTAAAGCTCTGTCTATATAATTTATTTTAGTATTCATAATTTAATAAAAGCTGTTTAAATGGCATACACTGAAAAGGTGTTGATTTTTTTGGGGGGCATAAATAAATGTGTAAATTAAGATTGTTTGTGCAGTTATACATGTAACGTTTATATATACAATATAGAGCGAGGTCTTTGCTGATTATGTGTTTGCCCCACAGAATAAGAGATGTGTTTGGACCGTTACACCCAGTGACGTGTGGACAGACATTCACAGTTTGATGGACATCTGCTCAGACACAGGTAGGCTAATGCTTCTAACATGTCAGTGTGTGTTGTTGGCGTGTAAATGTGTAGTGGTGACCATCATTTTCTTTTTAAAGGGTCACTCCTTTGAAAAGCAAATGATGGTAACCGAAGTAGGTGGGGAAGGGACGGTGAATGACATTTTTTTTATAGCCTTTTTTAAAAAAAATTCAGTTAAAAGCATAACCGCTGCTGGACATCGTGCGGGAGCTCAGGGGGGGACCCCATGATCCCCCACACCTTCTCACTCACACCACAGCATTCATTCATATCGCAGAGATCTGGCTGGAGTTGAACCAGCAACCTCTGAAACCGTGAGGCAGCGCTCTTACCTGTGAGCCACAGATCTCTTGTCTGGACATGTGAAGGAACTTATATTTCACTATTCACCTGTATGTGAGCTGGGATTTTACAATAAACCAGTGAAAGCCAAGCTGCCCAAGTGGGATTTGAACCCAAGGCTTTATCGCAGCCTCTTTCTCAACTGACGTGTGTTTAGCCGCTGTACCATCATGGCTTTCACACTGAGTGCTGGCATTAGGGGTGTTTTGTTGAATATTAGGAAGGTTTGTTGGATCTAATGCAATTTAATATAAGCGATAGTGGGATTTGAACCCAAGCCTTTAACACAGCCTCGCCCACAACTGATGTGTTTAGCCACTGCACCATCATGGGTCTCACACTGAGTGCTGGCATTTGGGGTGTTTTATTGAGAGATCTGTTTTAAATGATGAAAAACTCTTGGCAATTGTGGGATTTGAACTCAAGCTTGCATGTGGGAAAGAGATGTTTATCCACCGAGCCATACAATATGTGTTTATGTATTAGTGTGTTTTAGGGTCTTTTATGCATTTCTTTTCTTTTGTTTTGAATCAGCTTTTCAAAGCTAGCATCAAACTGGACATGTCATGTGATTTCAGGAAACGAGGTTTCTTCACATCATACTGTTTCGAAACATTTGGACATTTTGATGGTTCGCCACTAGGGGGTTTGTGACCATCTGGTGAACCCATGAACAATTGTTTAATACATGGTTTCTACTGATCTGGGTCAGTTTTATATTCAGGTTAAGTTTAATGACAAACACAAGTGTGTATAATGGACTTCGCTCGTGAGAAATGAATCGCAGTTTCACTCTTTCACAGCATTTGATTGGCTGTTCGCTACTGATGTCACACTGAAACTCAGGATCAAAGCCTTAGTTGACAGAGAAAGTTGATGATTAGCATCATGGTACCAACAAAGCCTGGTTGGATTGGTTTGGTTTTGTCAACTCAAAACTAATCCTATAACCCGGAGTTTGTTCAACTACCATCATGGTACGGGTCCCTGGACTAAAATGCATGTTTGAGCTGAAAATGTCAGATATGAAAATGTCATATCTTATAATGTCAGCGTCATTATTTTGTCTCAAGGCCTAGTAAACTAAGGCCTAATCCTAGCTTAATCTAAGCCTTTTCTGTGAAACCAGGCCATAATGTCAGTCAACAGTAAATTTTTTCACTCTGTTGTTGTTGTCTTAACTGTAGGTAATAACTTACTGTCTTACAAGCCACAAAACTTAAATATGAATAGCATCATTACAACTAAATATAGATGGTTATATAATTATAATTGCCGATATGTGGATCCTTACTTTTGAGAGGCACCCATCGAGTCAGTAAGTTGAACTGGACAACCGGATCATGCTCGAGTCGTTCAATCGAGTCAGTTAATTGTTCATCACACAAAGCTTATCGTAAGGCTTCTGAAGAATTCTAATAGCCGTATGGACTGCTTTTAGTATGCATTTTTAGTCTTGTATGAGAAAAATCTTGCATTATGCTTATTTAATCTAATGTGTGCTCAACATGAAGGAAAACATGGCCCTCAGGTTACGCTAAATATCAATTTTTATTCTTAAAAACCATACACGATACTCGACAAGTTTAAAATGTAAGTTGAATCACGATATCCATTTACATTGCGCAAGATAAACAGACATGTTCTTTTATTTCCAAACGTTATTTAAAAAAAAAAAAAAAACAGATCCTTAAAACTGATGGATAAACATTCATTCCCATTATAGGAAGACGCTATAGGAAAAAAAAAAGTAATGGATTGTTTTAATATATCTATTCTAAATAGCAAACTCAAGCATTTTTTTTAATTTATCTAATAAACATGAAAAAAAAACCCAAAATATCTTATTAAAAAAAAAAAGTGCAGTTGCAATGACTGAACAAATCTGAATCCCTTTCTCCTGTTTTTCTATCTTTCTTCTCCTTTATTATCCCTTAAATGAACCAACTAATGGAGAGAAGAAACAGTCTGAATTGGAACCCGCTGCCAAAAAAATTAAGTCTACTCCTAAACATTACAAAAAACACAAAACATGTATTTTGACCATAAGTTTCATGCTATTAGCCACCCTGAGTATTATATTACTTGGAGAACCAATCACGACCCTTGTTTAAAGAGTGTCCCACCCCCCATGAATATAATTTATGTAAAATCCCTGTAGGTCTGGTTCAGCAGGTTGAGATGTTCTCATTTCTGCATAAAAATACAATTTATTTATATGGTCTGTATCAAAACGTTCCTTGGGAATCTGAAATAAAGTACCCTGTGCTGTGATACCAGTGTTATACGCATGTTTTTTTGAAAATTCTTCACGTTGATTCCTTTGTTTCCAGTACTTCAGGTCTTAAATATATTCTACAAACAATTGCAGCAATATTTTTTTAACTGACAGCAATCTTTATGGAATATGAAAAAAAAGAAAAAGTACAAACTTTGTCATTTTCATATGACCAACAAACCAAAACACTTGAGGAAATATTTTCTTTCGAAGAAACCAGGAAAAAAAAGAAACAAAATTTGAAAACAATTCACTCTTTTTCCTTCCTTTATTTTTCCTTTTGACCGAGACAACAATTTACTACCTAAAAGACAATCTTAAGTTAAAATTCTTTACTTTTTAAATCATTGCATCCTTTTCGATTCAATTGTCTATAGTTTTATTTTTTCAGCCTGAGTAAACAAACTTATGATACATTGGCAGGGACTTAAATGTCATTGTTGAACTGACTGTGGACCATTTCAAATAAGTTAAATCACAGATGCATTCATTCTTTAAAGGCTGACATGGTGTGGCCTCCACTTCAAAATCACACCGTTAAAAGCGCGAAGACTCCAGCCATTTCACACAATTCAACTTCCAAATGAGAATGAGACATGGAATCTTGGAACTTAAAAAACAAACAAAAAAAAACTAACCACTTTAAGGGGTGAAATAGTAAGTATGAGAGGAGATGAAAGGACAGAGATCCTCGACTACGGCTGCCTCCCATCACCAGTCCAATGAGAAAAAAAAAAAGAAAAAAAAATCACATGGACCTCAATACCTTCTCTGCTATACAAGCCTTAGTGTTTTCTATTTGGCTAGAAGGTTCTATGTATCTACAAATATATAACAAATAAAACTTGCAGGCAAAAATAATTCGGTTTCCATAGAAACACCCTTTTTTCCTGAAAATACAGCAGTATCTGAAATATTTCTCTTATTTCATTTGTCCCCATTTCTCTGCATCAGGAAGCTCTTCCACCAACAAACAGAAGAAAAAAAAAGTATCTACAAACTTTGTAAACAGACCTGTGTCTTCCAAAAAACATAAATAATTCAAAATATTAACAGCCAAATGATGCAGAAATCAGTGTTTGAATAAGCAAAGGGCAAAAAGAACAAATGTACAACACCATCCAGATAAAGAGAAGCGAAAGCTAAGAGCTAAGCTCCCGAGAGATCCTTGGCTCCGCCCCTCTCATCCAATGAGTTCTCCAGGTTTTAGTCTCTGGGGAGACGAGCAGGTGTTGTGCGTCGTACCGAGGGGCAGAGCTGATCAAAGGGACGTCTCTAGGCTGTGCATGGGGCTCCCGGGAGTTGAGGGAGTGGCTGACTTGCTGGGATCCAGGAAGAGGTGGATGCCGCTGTCTACGGCGTTATTGTTCTGATTGGGCGAGGGTGGGGGAGGAGGAGTGGGTGTGGCGTTTCTCTTAGTGGGGGCGTCGTCCTCTGCATCCGTGTCATCGATGAGGGGGATGTGGGGTTCCGAGTCCTCTATCCGGAACTCCGGATGGGTCATGAAGTTGTGGATGGAGCTGCGAGACTCTGGCTTCTCCAGGCCCTCATAGGGCGACAGCGAGCTGCGGAATGCATTCACCACTCGGATCTGTGGGAGAACGGGACGTAAAGTCAGCCTTGCCGCTCGCAGAGATCTGCCGCTCGTTCGCACACACGTACAACAGGCATACAAAGTCAAACATCACTTCTTTTTCTTTCTTTTTTTCAAGTAAAGGTTAAACCAAAGGCCAAATTGACTGGTTTTAATTGATGAGTGGAGAGCAGTGAGGTTAGCGCACCAAAACCATCTGAGAGAGAGTGTGTGAGCGGTCAGATGTCGTGCAATAGAGAGAGAGAGAGAGAAAACCAACTCTTGAAAACCTGATGCTTGTGTTACGGTGAGCTTATCCTCTGACCAAGGGACAGAAAATCCTCTTTTCTCAGGATTGAGAAGTCACAGATGTACCAAACTGGAAAGAACTTCTCAGTTGTAAATCACATATAGCCAATTATTCAAAATGCAAATGAGAAATAGAGAGAGAAAGAAAACAGGAGACAGGAGAAGAGAGAGGACACGGTAACCCCAGAGGACACAGCTCAACACATGAGGTTAATATTTTTGGGCATGCTTGTATTGGTGGGGAGGGATAGGTCACTTATTATGTTGTGAATTAGAGACGCAAAACTTTAAAGCAGCCAAGCATGTTTAAGCTAACCTGCACAAGTAAATTCACAAACGGTCTAGAGATGTGACCCATGCAGAGCAGCGCTACCTTGTGTTTCAACAGAGGTAAACCTTTGAGTATAGCCCATGACACATTTCACAGAATCTAAGAAGGAATATGCGGCAGTCAGTGTCGTAGCGTTTCAAACTCAGTTTCCCAAAGTCCGATATCCATTTTATTAGCCCATTTCAAGACTAAAAACAAAGAGACAGTTTCAAACAAAATACAAAGTGCCCTGAACAGAGAAAAAGGGTTTGTGGACAGCCAGGACCTGATGAAAGATGGAAATATTGATGTGGTTAGAATTGTGCTGAAAGACAAACAGAAACCACATGATTTCGCCAGCTTCTCTTCCAGTCGCAGGTCATCCCTGTAAAATAACAAAGTTACATAAAAAAAATAAAAAAAGACAGACAGACAGACAGAGAGAAAGAGAATGATAAAACTGGCACAGAGTGGAGTATGTGAAAGTGTGAGAAAGAAGAAACCGCGTCGAGTACGGACAGTAACGCCAAGAATGAGTGAACGAGCAAAAACTGACACCACAGGAAAGGTGACGAACAGCAGGATTACAGAAAGAGGGGGAAGGAAGTTCATTTGTGGCTAAACTACAGCACAACTTCCAGCTTATCTGTTAAAAGACGATCCTACAGAAACCTGAAACACTTACCAGAACAATGCCTTAAAAATGTCCCACAAACCCATTCACAAGACCAATTTGGTGCGATTGGCTGGGTTATCAGTGTGACCATGGGCGTATACTCAAAACATTTACACGCGGAAGACTATGAGCCTGGAGAGCACGCGCAGGGCTGCAGACACACCAGACGGTATTAGACAACTACTCTTCATCGGTGAAACCCAGCCAAAGCCATCAAACACAGACACTGATACCTCAACCTTAACACTTAAGATACACAGCCGTTAACATTGAGAAGCGATGTGGAAGATGTTTCGAGATACAAATCGTTTCGAACAAGAGAGAAGGAGACATTAGGAGAAGAATGAAGACCGTTAGGCGAGAGGAGGAAATGTTAATTGTCATGCACTAATAAACACGCACTCACACCCGACAGTGGCAGAAGCGGTGTTGAAGGCAGTAGCAGGAGATAAGGCTACATGTGTAGGGCTAGAAACATTGGTTACATCGTGCTGTTGGCTGGTGCTGGAGGGCTGGCGCCTGACGGCCGCCTGAAAGGAAATTCCGCTCTGGAACGCACTCACTACATCCATCTGGAAGGAATCAGAGAGTGTGATAGGCCCAGAGAACGCACAGGAGAGAGAAAGAAAGAGTCAGAGGAAGAAGTGAGAAAAGAGAAGGCATAGAGGAAGAAGGGCACCCATATAAAGAAGACAGAGACAGAGAGTAGCTGAGAGAAGAGAAGAAAAAAAAAAAGGCACTGAATTAAAAGAACCTGACCTGACATTTGCCTTTAGCATTGATAAACTGCATTAATAAACCCCCTTCCACCAGTGTAAGGTCACCATAAGTGGTGGATCGATTGGAGGGTGTATTAACTCAAATCATAATCAGAAAAGGGGAAATAATAATCGAAATCGATTAAGCAAGGCGGGCATTAGGGCTCCTGACTGCGGAGTTGTGCTGTTTTCGAGAGGTTACCTGAGTCTGAATGCGGTTGAGGCCTCTGAACCAAAGAATCTGCCCCCTGCGGAGCTCTCGCTCAGCATGATCGATCTCCTCCATGTCATCCAGCTCCTCCAGCTCCTCATCTGGGATTTCCTCTTTCTGCGTGCCGTGACCAGCAGTCTTCAGGAACTTCAGCCGACTCGTGGGGATCGAGGAAATGATCTGAATGAAAGAGCGTAAATAGATATCAAGTGGGCCAGGAAAAAAAACGAAATGCTCTGTCATGCAATTTAGCTCACTGCCATTAGGGGGCACTGCTCTGTTACTATTGAGGAGTTTGTATTGGTGCAAGTTACAGGCTGGCTAGGCTACAAGAAGCTGATTTATATAATACAAGGAGGAATAGTCAGATGATGCTCACCTGTCCCCAGAGTAGACATCCAAAGCCCAAGAAGACACACCATAGCCACTGTTCAACATTGAGCCCCACACAGCTGAATGGCTTTCCTCCAAACTGCACGATCACAATCTGAGGGGGAAAGCGGCAATCGCTTATTGAGTTCATTGAGTTCATATTCAGAAATATCTATTTATGTTTAAGTAGTCAATGTGCTCTGATTATAGGCCTTCATGTGGACTCGCTGCATACCTGAATAACAAAAGTCCCAAAGACGATGCTACAGAAGATCAAATTGTTGAAAATGCCTTCAAAGACATTTCGTTCCCCATGGATCTTTCGTGCATTGATTTCATTAAACAGCTGCATCAACACAAATGTGTTGAAGACGATGGTGTAGTGCTCAGAAGGGGGAGAGTGAAGAGGGGCATTACGCCCACTGTCAATGTTGAATATCTTCTCGCCTGAAAGTTGAGCAGAAAGTAAAAACATTGCAGTGTTAGAAATAAGGCTCTTTGTAGCATCATAACAGAATAACAGGGTGCAGTCAAATGGCTTATAAAACAATTAAAACTAACAACTGTTGGTTATTAATAATCATTCATATTATTTTAACTCATCACAACCTGCAGGCTCCTCCCTTTTCATGGAGGTTTGCTTTATGCTATTATAATGTGCTTGACTCGGTTGGTTTGATCTAAGGGTGCTCCGATTGATCGGTCGCTGATCATAATCGGCCGATAATTGCTTTGGGATGTGTGATCGGCGGTCTCTAAAAAGGCCGGTCCAGAAAAGCCGATCAGATGACGCAAAACTCGCGAGACAATTTTTTTACGCCCTGGTAAAAATGGCTTCACCGGTCTGGCAATTCTACAACAGGGCTCTCAAGTGTCAAGCATTGAGCGTGACAGTCACTCATTTCGGTCACTCTTTTGTCACGGTCTCCCGCCACACATTGTATTTCTCACGCTGAAAAACTATTTGTAATATATTTAATATGCCGCAGCGGCCAAAACTCTGGCCGAGCCGCTCTCACTGTGGAACCGGCATGAATCAAGCGCGTTTCGTTTCCTCTGGTGTTGTTCGTCGAGCTACACAATAGCCAATCAGAAAATAGCACTATTGTATCTGGGTAAGATTTAACGCAACAACCAATGACAAAAATGTATCGGTATCGGGTGATACAGCTTCCAGTAATCGGCGATCGGCCCCAAAAATCCTGATTGGAGCACCCCTAGTTTAATCATTCTGTTGCCTGAACATGTGCAAGTTCTTACCAGCAAAGAGCAAAGTGAAGATGATGGTGAGCTGGTAGACCCCATGACCCAATATGTTCTTCATCATTGTCCTGGAGATGAGGGGTTTATTACGGCCGTAAGGCTTCCTCAGCAGAAGAGATTCGGTGGGTGGTTCAGTGGCCAAGGCCAAAGAGGCAAATGTGTCCATAATCAGATTTACCCATAACATCTGTACAGCTTTCAACGGAGAGTCCTGGGAGAGAGAGAGAGAGAGAGAGAGAACAGGAGGTGACCGTTCTGACCTCATTCACTGCTGCCACCTTCATAACGTTCACAAACACCCTCTCAGTTCTGCATTTGCATGAGTACTGACTTTTTGCATTTTGTGCACAGTTTTTCAGTGGAATTCTGCATAACGTATTTAAACGTGAATACCGAGCTGAAAAATGATCCGATTAGACGAAATATTTAACACATAAAGCGCAGAACTCCATGAATTAGAGGTGCTGAAATTGTGGCGGAGTCTGCGAGCACAAATAGTGAGTGGGCCAGCTCATGAACAATATCCAGGGACAATTACATACGAAACAAGCAGAACACCTGAGGCCTGAGCCCACGTCCAGCCTTGGCTACTGACAGCGATGCAAAAGCACGAATGTAATCCTCCCGTTCATTATGCAATAATACAGGACCTCAACTGCAATCAGCTCGACTATCATTCCATTTAACAGAGGAGAGCTGGCTCATTTCGGACTGGTGCTTTGTCTGTGGACAGCAGTGCCAGATCCCATGCTGACAGCCTGCAAGTCTTCATGCCTCAGCCTAACAATTTCCAATCACTTCACACAGGATGGGTAGCAATCAGCTGCTTCCATCACACCCACCATGGCTCATCTGTTAAGACGCAGAACTGAACTATTTATCTTAACAGCAAGGTCAGCTGCAGCATTATTGTGCTTCATGGTAGAAGAGAGTTTTCTTTTTAATGGTACCTGTGTGATGCAAGCTCCAGTAAAGGCCACGATCACAGCCACCACATTGACGGTGAGCTGGAACTGGAGGAATTTTGAAATGCTGTCGTACACATTCCGCCCCCACATGACTGCCTTGACAATGCTGCTGAAGTTGTCGTCGGTGAGGATGATATCGGAGGCTTCTTTAGCCACGTCTGTGCCAGCAATGCCCTGAAAATAACAAGCACACAATATAAAAGGCATTCAAATCAAAATCAAATGCACAGAATCCTTATAGAATTCCTTTTCTTTTTTTCTGTAGCCACATACCATGGCAAACCCAACATCGGCCTTTTTTAAGGCAGGGCCATCATTGGTGCCGTCTCCTGTTACCGCCACAACCTGCCTCTTCTCCAAAACAGTGCTGTCAATTATACCTGAAGGAAAAGACATGTGTCAAGACACACAGCAATTCCAGAGACACTTTTTGAATCGCTCATACTGTAGGAGCGAGTCTCTGAGCACCTTTGACTAGTGTATGCTTGTCTGTCGGTGAAGATCTCGCCAGCACCCGGAGTTTAGGCCATATTTTGTCAATCCGCTCTTGTTCGATCTGGGGGAAAAAAAAGAAGGAACCATATTATGAGCTTGTGAGCTTCTGTGTTTGTGTGAAAAGTCCTGCCATTAATAGACTGTGCCTTTCACCTCTCCCTTTTCATTACGGATCCGGCGGTTGAACTCTTTGCCGTCCAAGCAGAGGAAGTCATCTCCTGCCTGCAGGATGCCACATTTAGATGCTATAGCGCGGGCAGTGTTAAGGTTGTCCCCGGTGACCATGCGCACTGTGATTCCAGCACGCTGGCACTTTCTAATGGCATCAGGGACCTGAGCAGGAAAGAACAAGTGAGCATGACCGAGAAGTTATTAATGCAAGAGACTCTTTCTCCAAATGAAAATAGTTAGGTATTTCTACGGTTGAATTTTACTAGGGCTGCAACAAATTATTATTTTGATAACTGATTATTTCTTTCTTTAATAAATTAGGGGAAAAAATATTTATTTCAGTTTCCCATCTGTCCCGCCACAGTTTCATAATGAGCCGAAAATATATTTAAACTTCACATAAAATGTCTTATTGCAATATTGCGTTATCCTCGAATTAAATAGCAAAAGGCTGTGACTAAATAAGTCGAAGTTGCACATTTTCAAAAGCTCAAGGGTTTTTCTCTTGCAAGTGTAGAAATTAGAACAAAAGTAATTTACCTATTGTAACGTAAAGAAATATAATATTATGAAGTATTCTTTTTCATTTATTTTACAGTGCATTTGTTTTACAATATATGACTATTACTGTCATAAGGGATAAGAATAATAAAAATATAAAATTATTATGATTATATTCTAATTGTTTGGCTTCCTAAAACATCAGTGTGAATGTAATGTAGACACTTTATAAGAAAACTTAAAAAAAAAAGTGTTGAGTCCCCTCTTTAAAGCTCATGTACAAGTCAATTCACAATTTATTTTTTCTTTGTTAAATTTGCACACTGAATATGGGTTGGAGCTCTTAATTTGGAACTTTCAAAGTGCACCAGATTGATGAATTTAACTTACAAAATCCTGTGGGAAACACTGTATCATTTCCATTATTATTTACAAAATTGTTATTCCATCCACATCCTGCCCAATGTTGTCCTCCAAACAATGTACAATTTGAAGGCAATGAAAACAAATATCATTGAATGTATCCAAGTATGCCATGTGCAATTTAACATTATGTGGTGTTAAACTGATTGCTTACCATTTGAAAGTAGAAATTAATCACTAAATAACAACAATATATGAAAGAATTTTTTTATTACTCATGTTACATGTCAAATTTGAGCCTTATATTTAATGTATTTAACGTAAACAAGAAATATTTTAGAAAATTTAATATTTTAGTCAGAATTATTGCACTCCTATTATATTGTGCTCCGTCTCTTTTTTGCGCATTCACATGCTGGTGCCAACTCGCTCGCTGTCAGGACAAGCCTTTAAGCAAAATGCAAATACTTGGGTGGCTTTCTAACATCTACACAAGGATATAACTGTAAAATGCAAGTAATGTGCTGAGGAAAACTTGTTACAAATGGCTACTGCTTGTACCTCTGGTCTGACTGGGTCTTCAATACCAACGACACACAAACAGGTGAGCCTGCTGAGGATATCGTTCTCGTTTTCCCAGTCTGGTTCTCCTTCAGAAACAGGGAAGTCCCTGTAAGCCAGGCAGATGGTCCTCAGGCCCTCAGAGGCCATAGGCTCGATCACTTTCTTCACCATGTCATCTCGGTCTCTGGGCCGGAAAACCTTTGCCTCACCCGCCGCTGTCATGACTTTAAAACACCTGGGTGAGGAGAGAGCAGGTAAGATATTGCAGATGCCCAGCAGCACATAGCAACCGAGCCATCAGAGTAATTTCTCCAGGGAAATCTATCAGTAACACAGCTTAGGGGCTTTGGAGGGGGAGGTGAAGCATTTGATCTGCCAATCAAGATTGCTGACACACCTCTCACACACTCTTTAAGAAAAGCGATAGAATACTACAATGTTTTATTCATCCTTTGAAATGCATCCTATGGTGCCAAGCCATTAACAATGACCAAACCAAGCATGACATACTTTTTCAGCAGAATCTCAGAGGCTCCTTTGCTGAACATCCGGAAGCTTCCGTCAGCATTCTTCAGCACGGTGCTCATGGATTTCCTGACGGAGTTGAAGGTGTAGACTTTGTAAAGCTTCTCTTCAGGGATTTCGTTGCGGATTGCTTGATAGTCTTTTTTCAAGTCCATGGCAAAGCCCAGCAAGGCACATTCAGTTTTGTTGCCCACCTGACGGTTCAGGCCTCCCTCCTTCTCAGGGGGCTGGAAGAAAACATAATCTAGTTCAAAATCGTAAAAACTATAATATGAGATATGCTTTAAAACATCTTGCAAAAGCGTTTTAATTCAGCCACCGGTTCTAAACTGCCCAGATTGATATCAGTAAAAGACACAGCATTATGATATACTGTTATTTAAAGGGATAGTTCACCCAAAAATGAACATTCTTTCATCATTTATTCTCCCTCAAGTTGTTCCAACCCTGTATGAGTTTCTTTCTTCTGTTGAACACAAAAGAAGGTATTTTGAAGAACGTTGGTAACCAGACAGTTGACGATAGCCATTGACTTCCATAGTACTTTTTTCCTGCCTATTTATATAGTATTATATTATGAAATAATATTTTTAATTAACTTTTATTTGTATATTTTCAGTTTTTCATTTTAATCTTAGTTTTAGCCATTTTGCTATTTGTTTATGTCTTTTTATTTTTGTCATTTTCAGATGAAATCAAGTCACTAATTGACTGATAATATATAGTTAAAAATTCTCAATCAAATTTTCTTTTTTCTTTTTTTTTTTAAATGAATTTAATGAAAATAACTCACCATGATTTTGGTGGTGTAAGCGCAGTTGACACTGATGCCCACTGTGAGCAGCTCCATGATGCTGGCAGGAATGAGATCAGGCTCAGGGACTTTCTTGTAGTACTTGTCAGCGATATTGACCTGAACAACTTTCATCCGGTTCATAGTCAGAGTCCCGGTCTTATCTGAACAGATGGCTGTGGCATTGCCCATGGTTTCACAGGCATCAAGATGCCTCACCAAATTATTGTCTTTCATCATTTTCTGAAATACAGCAGCAAAGTAAAACAATGAAAAAAAGGGTTGGTAGCAGGGAGGTGATAAACTGACAGATAAACAATAAACAGATTGAGCGCAAGATTAAACAGGAAAGTCCACTAATCCCCAACTAAATGCCAGAAATCCGGCAAAGTAATATTACTGTAACAGCTACAAGAGGCGGGAAATAAATGTGAAGCGATATGTGAAAAGAGATGGCAAATCATGATTATTAGATCAGCATATGCTGCACATTGTCAGAACAAATGGCTAACGTCACACCTCTAAGATGTCCACATCATGAAAACCATGAACATTTAAACAAAAGATGCAGGGTCATACTTTGACAGAGTAAGCCAGCGAGATGGTTACAGCCAGCGGAAGACCCTCTGGGACAGCCACCACCAGCACAGTCACACCGATGATAAAGAACTTAACAAAGAACTGGATGTAGACGGGCGTGCATTCTTTTTCCCAGGGAAGATCCTGGACCCAGAAAGTGTCCACCACGAACAACACCACCAAGATGATTACTGTGATGGCTGACATCACCAGACCTGCACAGAGAGACATACATTAACACCTCTAAAGCCCAATGCGCACACCGAAAAAACCATTACCACTGAGAGATTGACTTTTAGGCTTCGAGACCTCACACCTGACAAATGCAGTTTTCTGTTCTGTGTTGACATATTTCCTATTGAGGTTGGTTGAGACATCCATTTTTAAATAGCCAACAGGCTTTAGTTACGTCACGGCCATGAAACTACTGATAGTCGGTTGAAGAAGGAATTAGGGGGTGGGATTTTTTTCATAGTAGATAGCATTTGATTGGACAAAAAATCTGTGTAATGCTGGACGAGTCATCAATATATTTGGCTAGTTTTCCCAGAAGAGAAAGAATGTAGATTTAAAACGCATCTACCTCCTAGAGTGTTGTTTTCTCAACTTTTAGGAAGACACTAGCAGATATAGATGCCCTCAAAGTGAACATGCTTACCTGCTTTGCCGATTTGGACCGCTAATTTGGTCAGCTTTCCTTGCAAGACCGATTTCTCTTTCTTTGACATGTTGGATTTTCTCTTCTCCTCACCCTCAGCCGCTTCATCACTGTTTAGAGGCTGCATCTCCATCGCGGCACCATCCTGGGCTTTAGCTACGAAGAGAAAGAAAGAAAACCGTGAATATGCAGTGGGCACAGGAATTCACTGCTCAGACCACAGGAAGCCTTTTCTAATTAAATTGTGGTTCCCCCACTTGACAAAGATAATTGAGAAGATTAATTATAATAGTGATTATAAATGAATGATCTTTTTTTTTTTTTACAGTTCGAAAAAAGAGCTCGAGATCGTCCTCACATTTAAGAGCCACATGCAAACCCATGTGACCAAGTCACCTAGGAGACATAAAAGTCTCATTGCCATGAGATGTCCAGCCCATCACTTATCACTATCGCCTATAAAAGACGACATGCACACACTCAGCCTGATCTCAGGGCCATCGCTCTGCGTGCTAAAAGTACAGCCTGCCAGTGAGGTGACATCAAACAAACAAAGAACTCAGCATGCGTGCAATCATACAGACAAGCAGACAGCAGGATATCTACATCCAACGCCGATGAAGCATGACGTAGTAGGCTTGTGTGCAGGATTTAACGGGTGTGTGATGTGAGGTAATGCGACTGCATCTGAATCAGCGGGGGGTAAGGGGCGATGTGGAACTGCTATTCTACCGCGCTGTGCTGCTGCGCCCTACTAACAGAGCTGTAACGCTAGTCTGGTGGATTAAAGCTCACTTTTGGCAGGGCGATCTGTAGCCGGGGCTTTAATAAACAAGCATGGTCTACTTTTAGAGTAGAGTTTGATTCTGAACACAGGGTGGCCTGAATGTGGACACTGCCCTGCTTGGGAAGGTGATTTTAGATAATAAAAGGTTTCAAGCGAGACAGGTGCACCTATCTGGACTAAGAGCTGCACACAATGCTAATTCAAAGGTCGGTAAAATGTTTTCAATGTTTTTAAAAAGAAGTCTCTTAATCTCACCAAGGCTGCATATATTTAAATAACTGTTGATTATTTTAATATATTTTTAAATTGTAATTTATTCCTGTGATCAATCAGCCATTGCTCTTCGGTCTTCAGTGTCACATGGTCCTTCAGAAATCATTCTAATATGCTGATTTGGTGCTCAAGAAACATTTCTTATGAATGTTGAAATCAGCTATGCTGATTAATATTTTTATGAAAACAGTGGTACAATTTTATGTAGGATTCTTTGAATGGAAAGTTAAAAAGAACAGCATTTATTTGAAATCGAATAATGTACAATATTTTTACTGTCACTTTCTTGACACGCGTTCTTACTGAATAAAAGTATTTATTTATTTCAAAATCGTACTGGCCCAAACTTTTGAACTGTCCAGCTCCAAAAACACTCTTAAAACCAATCTAACCTCTCCACACTACACACACACTTCTTTTCACCTCACTAATGTGGATAAGCTTTAATGAAGATCCAATAGCACTAATGGGTTAAGGCGATGGTTTTAATGCAGGCTGCAGTTTGTAAGAGAGTGGCCTGCTAAGCCAATATGGTGTTCATTATGTCATTAAGTCAATAGGGTAAACTCACCTTTCTTTCTGTTCTCCACAGAGCCATCCTGCTTTTTATCTGTATTGACAGAGAAAGAGAAGCCACATAACAAACACTCACTAATTTATTCATTATTCACCATTATGCAAGCGATGGTTCTGCAGCGCACATTTGAACATATTTCCAATTATGCAAATCATCTCTTTGATTTAACAGAATGAGAAAAGGCTCTCGAATATTTAAGAACAGATGTGTGCCACGACCTCATGAGGCTTGCAAATCCACTGCAGTGGCTAGACCCCAAACGCACAAAATTGTAAAGAGGTGCGCAGTCACTGAACAGCAACTTGGGGCCCAACCTCTGAAAGTACTGAAATATTCATGTATCTGCAGGCACTCATTTGGAGCCCCAACACGGGCTGCCAGTAATGCATTAAATGGCAGTTAGTTAATGGAGTGCACGAGAACTCGTTACATTTTTCCAGGAGTCACTCCTTCAGACATTTTATTTTTACTTCAGAAAAATACTGATAAATGAAAAAAAAAAAAAAATATATATATATATCTTTTCCAAGATAGACAAAAGCACACTTTCATGAATACAGGAACACACGCCTATTCAATTCATTTCTCTGCAGCCACAGTAGCTACAGAATGAAAAGGCCACGGGTTGGTCTATTTTAGTTTCTGAGACAGACTAAAAAGGCACCAAATAATACAGACAACTTACTTTTCCTCTCTTTCTTTTTCTCTTTTTCTTTTTTCTTCTTCTCCTCCTCCTCATCCTCATCATCTTCTCCCGCCCCCAATAACGTGAAGATGATTCCAGTTTGGGAATTGACGCCGACAGCAGTGACAACCATTTTTCCAGAACCCTCCATGACATGAGTACCTGCACAGAGGAAGATGAGGTGAATAAAGGTCATATGCTGTTTAGTTCTGTGTTCTGGTAATGGTCCATAACACAAATATGTGGAAGACTAAATAAAGTGATGAACCATCAAATGTCACACAGCTCAGCTTTATGACAGATAACTAGTTATCTAGAGTATCCAATTGTAGAGTATTTAGTATTCACAATGTGGGTGTAAGTCCTGAAAATTTGGGGCTCAGTCTCATTTGGAACCAAACTGTGTTTGAGAAGGTAACAGTTTTTAGCACTCTACAGGCAGGTCTTCTGATTTTTTTTTTATTATGCTCTATGAGCACTAGTCGTTTACTTATTGGGCTTTAAAAAAAATGGAAATGACTGGCCATTTGTATGTCTCCCATCTCAGGCTTCCTCTACCATCATTGAGGCTTGAGGAGGGGGACTATGAAAAAAAAAAAATGTCAGGGAGAGGTTTCTGCTAGGCTAGACTCAGCATGCTAACGCAAGCTCCGCTGGAGGAGTGCCCACTCAGGCTCACAAATCCCCCTTCATCTCCTCTGGGAAGGCACACAGCAATGTCATTTTATCAGAGGATCAACTTGCTTTCATAAAATGGGATTAGCTGAAGATGTGCAATAGCCTTGCTGAGAGGGAGCAGGACCTACGTAGCCAACATCTGAACATTTATTTGGTTTGACTGAACTTTGGGTAGAGGCGATACAGGACTCCACAGAAAATGCACAAAAGTTAAAAAAAAAAAACTTTTAACAACACTAATGATCGGTTGCTGTCGCTGTGGATTGTGTCTTCATGTCCCACCTGACAGCAGCATAGGATCTTTCTCCATCGATTTCTTCACATGGTCAGACTCTCCGGTTAAAGAGCTCTCATCTATTTTGAGGTCGTTGCCCTGGATGAGAACGCCATCAGCAGGCAGGAGGTCACCTGACAAAGAAGGTATCCCATCACAATAATGTTCATTTCTGTCAGCAGTTTTTGAACTTATTTCAAGGTGACTATACAGGAAAAGGTAATAATCACTCAACACTAGTGAAATGTTAGACTGACACTTTTGACATCCCTCTAGAAAGGAAATGAAAAATCTCAGCAAATTAATGTCAGCTTACCATATTTAATTTGTGCAATGTCCCCGACGACAATCTCGGCCACAGGGATAGGAATGACTTGCCCTCCCCGAACCACCGTAAACTTTTGCTCTTGTTCTATGCGGCTCTGTAAGCCACGAAATTGTTTCTCCTTGCTCCAGTCATTAAATGCTGTTACGAGCACCACGCAAACAACAGACAGGAGGATCGCTGCTCCTTCTATCCATCCAGCCTCAGATTCTCCTTCATCCTCTACTCCAGCCGCTGCATTCCCGCAATCTGCACACACACACACACACAATAAAACTCAGCTCAGAACAGCCTGAAATTGAGATAAGCTATAAATAAAGCAGAAAGAAAGAAATAGGTTACTTACTTTTACTGTCTGAATCCGGAGGTTTATAAAAAGAAAGGCCTAAAGAAACTATTGCTGCCACTTCCAAAATAATCAATGTTACGTCTTGTAATGCTTCCCATACTAACTGAAGAAAGGTTTTTGGCTTTTTCGGAGGTATAAAGTTCTGTCCAAATGCTTCTTTTCTTTTGTCAATATCTAAGGGCTGCCCACTTAATCCTGGAAGAAAAAAAGTGAGAAAGAAACAAAATTAATAACTCAAGTAAACACAGAACACAGCCCTTCTTATATAGCAGCATACGATACTTAATGATTTTCTATGAGAGTCAGGATTAGTGAGGAAGAAAAGACCTGTGGGTCAGCGACAGTATCTTAGAGATAAAGTCTTTCAGAATAAGACCAAAAGATCACAGAAGAATATATATATATATATATATATATATATATATATATATATATATATATATATTCTTCTTGTAATATATAAACTTACAATTTATATCAGTTTATATTATATCAGTATATCAAACAGATTTCTGTTTGAATACATTTTAAAATGTGATTTATTACTATTTATTACAGTTTTCAGCGTCACATGATCATGTAGAAATCATTCTAATACGCTGATGTGGAAACTTTTCTCAAGAAACATTCCTTATTATCAATGTTGAAAACAGTTGCTGCTTAATTTGTTTTGGAAACAGTTTTACAATTTTTTTCAGGATTCGTTGATGAATAGAAAGTTCAAAAGAACAGCATTTATTTGAAATAGAAATCTTTTGCAACGTTCTAATCAATTTAATGTATCCTTTCTGAATACAAATATTAATTTACTTCAAATCTTGCTGACCCAATTCTTTTGAATGGCAGTAGAACATCTATATTTTATTATTCTATTTAATATCTTTTGACTGTCTACACTCTTGAACACATGTCCAGGCTAAAATCGTTGTTAAAAATTTTTTTTTTTACAAAAAAGCTTAGGCCTACACTCTTTTGTATTTCATCGATTATGAGCTATTAGCACAGCAAATCCATTAGTACTGGCCGTACAGCAGTAGAGCGAGAGGGATTTTGACAGAAGATCCTGAGAATTTCCTGGGTGTGAAAACTTAAGTTAATCCAGGACCAATGCCAAAAACTGACAGGCCAAAAACAAATGCTGGGTTCATTGTACACTGTCATTCTCAGGAATCATTCAAATGCACTGGTGTAACAGCAGTCCTCTGGTTTGCCTATTTGAATAACTCTCTACATTCAAAGCAGGTATTCAAAGAAGATATGGTGTGCGTTCAGTTCACTCACACTCACCATATGTTAAGAAACAAAGAAAGGATGTGAATGAGCCATGCGGACGAATAGATTGTGTGTTTATGCATCTAGTGTCTGGGCGTCAGAATGAATGTGTATGTGTGACTGAACAGGATGATTTGCCTGCCAGACCAGAGAGAAGCCTGGTCAGCAGAGCCTATTGTCATGACAACATCCTCCACATTACTCAGCAAAGCCATAGAGCCGCTCTTGCTGTCACCCATTGAGTTGAAGAGCACATTTCTGCTACTGGATAACACTCAACTTTTGACCAAACACAACCAAACAGCTCTTTGTTTGGACAACTTCAATGTCTGCGACATATCCATTAATTCATTTGACCGTTGATTTTATTCAAAGCAACTTACACAGCATTTGAGGTATACATGGGAATTCCTGGAGCTCAAACAGTAGAGGTCATTGGCTTGATTCCCAGAGAAGGCATAAATGTTCAAATGTATACCTTGAATGCAATGCAAGTCGATATGGATTAAATGCATAAATGTATTTTTTTTTAAGTTGTAGGCCTAAATAAAGATTATTGGACTGTTACAAAAAAAACAACTATTTAAGTCTAATTCATGTTTAATTCAATTTGTTACTTGCCATTTCTTTGTGATGAAAATTATTTCAAACTAAATCCTACAGCAATTTATTTTTTATTCACTACAATAAACAACAAAAAAGCTAAATTCTTCACTGCTGCTTAAAAATCTAGCAGTTTCTATTCTAGTGGAAACTATTTCACAGCACAATCTGAACATTATAATCTTTGTGACTAATAAAAACTACATTTTGCTGGAGGCAATGTCATGCAACAAGATGACCATCACTTCAGCGAGTGATATATATATATATATATATATATATAGATTCTGAAATAAGGAAGGGAAACCAAAAATGAGTTTGTTTGCACTGGTAACCAATACTTCTTGATGAAAGCACAGCTGCTAGGCCTAACTGCTGAAAACTTCTGCTTGCTTCAACGCCAGTGCATTAAATCCAGGTTTGTGTAGTGTGGAAATTGAGGCTGAGGATTACATTCTCTCTCTCCCTGCTTGGAGAGTGTGGGCTAAGGAGCAGATGAGTCAGGTCTTACGCCTCTGTCAAAAATGCATTTATGCTGCAGTGCACATCTCAATTCCACTCTCACTCAAGATCAAGCAGACAGCTAGTTTAAAGCATCACTGAAGCGAAGATTAAACTAGAAGAAGAAAAAAATAAGGCCATTTAGACAGCTCACTATTCATTTGCATGCTACTGAGTGCATAATTAGCACTATGATTGCTGGAAGTGCTAATACCTTTTAGGTGTTGTATACCTAAAACTAGCGTTTGCACTAGTTGCTGCGAAGACTCCAAGGTTTTTGCAATTTCCACAAAGGAGACCAAATCATAGGACGTCAGTTCCTCTTTTCACCTGAGACCTTGAAAGCCACAAAAACAGGGGCCTCCAGACAATCTCTAATGTGAAAACCCAGGAAAGAAACATATTTAACAAGCTAGACAAGACAATAGAAAACATTAAATTATGAATAACTATGCTAACCAACCCATTCAGACATCAACAAAGCAAATTATAAGCAATGGTTTTGAATACCTCACAAACAACAATCTACTGAGCTCCATGCTGGTTAGATTTTAGTTTGTTTTACTAAAAGCTCATTCATAAACATCTATAGTAAGTGCTTAAGACAGAAGGATATTTCTGACAGGTGCAGTAGCTGCACCTAAAACGCAAAATGTGTCTATTCTGTGCATCTAGACAATTCCGTCTCCAACTTCCGCTATTGTTTGAGCCAATATTGCTGTGTCGGTCTGGTTAGGATGCTCAAACAAACAGAGCAATGTTTTGAAGTATACACCTTTCGTGGAAAATCAACCTACGAGTGTCTTGTGTATAAGGTGAGAAAGAAGAAAGTGCTAGAAAACCAACACTTCACCTTTAACACACTTAAGAGCGTCCCAGAGCCCGGGTCATACTAGTATCAAGAGTACTGGATGAAGCTTGTGGCTGGATGTAAACCTTACAAACATCACCTCCCACTTGATTTAAGCAGGCAAGTCTTTTCTGAGATATCCTTCAGAAATATTTGTGTTAAGTCTTTTAAAAAGAACTGTGAATACTAGGGACGCACGTTATATCGGCCACCATATCGGTAGCGGCCGATATATGTTCATTTTTAATGTTATCGTTATCGGCCTGATGAGAAGATTTGGCCGATATATTAAAGCCGATAATTAATGGATTATTTCCTTCAGCTGAGATGCTTCAGGTGCTCACCATGATGGTTTTGAATTGCTTGAAATGTGATTGGAATCACTTCAAAAAAGGAAAATACAGTTAAGAACATGTGCAGCACAAGTCTGTCATATAGGCTACATCAAATTATAATAAAAATATTATAATTGTGCGATTGGGACATGGATTTTAATGGCGAGACTTTTGTTTTTGTAGTCAGGGTCTCAAAAATTATATAAAAATTTGGATTTAGATTTGTCGGCCAATATATCGGTTATCGGCTTTCAAATACCAAAAATTATCGGTATCGACCAAAATTTTCAGATCGGTGCATCCCTAGGGAATACCGAATTTAACACTCATTTTTAACTCTTACTGCCCCAGAAAGATTGTCCTGAGGGCCCATGAAACGGGGTCATGTATACTAGTAGGCCTTTCAAATAAAAATCCGTTAAGAACAATCTCTGGCCCTTGCCTTTAAATTGCAGTAGAAGTCCCTCTTGTCTACACATGCGCATTGTGTAATACATTAGATTTGAGGAACCTTTCAATAGTAGTCGAATGGGCTAGCATAAATACATATTCACATAAATATGATGAAAAGAACATCACAATTTAAAGTGATGCCAAAAGAGCTTTAAAAAGTAACTAGTTAAATCAAAAAAGTAGAAAGATTAGTGGTGGCTTTGCTACGAAATTGAGAAATGGCCTACTTACTAATTAGAAATCCCTTTTCAATTGTCAAAGCTCTTGTAATCTTGAATGACTGCTTAATTTCCTATGGCAAAACTGAGTGATCTGATTAAGCTGTAAAACGTGTCATAACAGCAGGGCTGCCTGCCAGCGTGCTATTGTGAAGCGGAGGGAACCGGGCAGAGCTAAACCGGCGGATCACTGTGGGGCTCCAATCTCAGTTAGCCTTGTGCTGTGTAGAGAGACTGGCTAAGCGACAGGGCCCTCTATAAGTCTGGGCACTGAATAGAATACTGAGGGGGAAATTCTCATACTATTCTTCTATGACTAATACATAATTCACACGGTATACAAAGCTGGGGCACAGCATGGGCCAAATTTCAGACAGTCTATTCAAGAAACAAAATACGCATTTTTAGGAGTCATATCGATGTTATCAGTGTGACCCCATTATTTGAGCCATGAAGTCGAAATATACATTTCCACTGACGCTATAGTTTCCACTGACACCATGACAAAGGTATAGCTCTGGACTGCAGACAGCACAGTAAGCCTTTGTTTCAATCACTCAGTATTTCAATCACTCAGTATTTCATCGCCTGCTAATAAAAGTCAGACCTTGTGAGGGTAGGATGCAGCAGGTGACACTACATACAAGCATCCAAGCATGCCATGCATATCAGAAGGTAGAATTGCTTCATTATTAAGACTGAAAGATAGGAGTTTGCTGTAGGGATGCATGATATATTAGCCACCATATCGGTATCGGCCGATGCAAATTTTTAATGTTATCAGCCCGATAACATTTTTTGGCTGATATATTAAAGCCGAAAGTTAATGAATTATTTCCTTCAGCTGAGACACTTCAGATGCACACTGTTCACCATGATGGTTTTGAATTGCTTGAGATATGATTGGAATCACTTAGTTAAGTGCAACGTGTGCAGCGCAAGTCTGTCATATAGGCTACATAAAATTATAAGGAGAATATTATTATTGTGTGCTTGGGACATGGATTTTAATGGTGAGACTTTTGTTTTTGCAATTAGGCTCTCAAAAATTACATAAAAACTTGATTTAGATTTATCTGCCAATCTATCAGTTATCAGCTTTCAAATATAAAGGAATTATCAGTTTTCGCTATCGGCCGGTACATCCCTGGTTTGCTGCTCTGCCAAACATATTATTCATAATACCAAGTGTCAGATACGTTTAATGCATATTAGGTATTAAGACCTAGCAGCAACATTAATACTAATTCAAGCATAACTATTAATATTGTTGTTCATACTGAACTATTTTGTTGACTGGATTGGATTATAAAATGGGCCAAATATGGACCTGACCCATATCTATCAGAATATCAAAGAAACTTGGGATCACCACACCAACCAGAACATCTGAGCAAGCACACATACCCTATTTTTAACATTTTATTCAATGAAGGAGCAAAACTAATTAAAGGTCAAGGCCCTAATATTGTCCCTTTGTCGCTCTCCTTTAAGAACGTGCTATATTTTGACTTTAAATAACAAAAATCCATTACTGCTGATCAAGCCAGCATGCTAAATAGATAAGTGAAGTATTCTCATGGAAACACTGCCCAAAAGCCCCAAATTGACATTGGCAGCGTGTTCACACACGAGAAAACTGTGTCTCAAAGAGCCTGCAGAAAACTGCTATAGACATGGTGCCGTTTTAATCTGGGATCAAACTGAAAATCCCTTCCCCCAAGAGTTCAATCAAGGTCAGGTCAGCGATTAAACCTAATGTCTACAGAGAGGTAATAAACCAATGGAGCTACAGCTGTGGTCTGCACACTGACTCTGCACTTTTCTATATGTTACCCTTAAAGACTATATACCTGCTCACACATCTCTTCCAATGAAATAAAGTAAAAGAAAAAGTGCAACTGTAAGCAGAGACAGTGAGAGATATAAAAAAGACAAATAGGGCTGCAACAGCCAAAAAAAATAAATCAAATAAAAATCGATAATAAAAATAATCAGTAACGAATTTTATTGTCGATTAAGTCGGATGTCTGTGATCATGTGGCACAGAAACTTCTGTCAATGATGTCACTTTGCACTTTTTGCTGGGAGGAACAAGTTTACGACCAAAGTTGCCTAAATTATGGGAGAATTATGTATTAAAAGCTTCAAAGAAAGTCATGAGCATATGGCTGCATGTGGGGTGTCAGGTGCTTCGACAGATTGCTTGTGCTTTTTATTACTTACATGCTGTTATATTGCTAAAATAATCTTATTGGTAAATGTTTCAACCTCAAAAGTTAATTGAGTGCATCCTAACAGTAGGTGTTTTGCTGTTAAAATTAAAATACTCCTAAGAGCGCGTTTGTATAGCTTTCCTATAAAAAGAGATTAAAATAATTGTAGCCCCTAGAGATCAATAAAGAAATGGATAAATAAAGACAGAGAGCAGGAAGGGTCTAAAACTAGCCATTACAAAAGCTGTTAAATTTCTGCTGCAGCCACATTCTCACGAGCTATATCGAATGGGATGGTAAATGCATTTGTGTTTGACATTAAGGACTTTTATTTGAAATGTCAAACACACCGACATGCAGGACACTCTCTGTCTAGTCTAACTGTTTAGTAGGGAAGAAAGATCTTCATCTCAATCAGACATCGTGTAGATATTAGCATACGGTCTATGTGCTGCCTGAGCCCAGGGTCATGTAGCGAGCAGCAGCAATGGGACAACAGCAGCAAACCTCCCAATAGACTGCAGATGCACTAAAATGCAGCAAGATGCCATTCAAGTGTAACGGACCTGCTCACAACTGCTAACATCTGTATGTTTAGAGTGAAATGCAACAGTGCTGTTTAAAACCATCCAAAGAGTGGGTGTTCCTTCCACTATACCTCCTGGACCTGTTTTTTTGCAAAGCAAAGAAAGTGCAAAATAATGATTATGTACCATCTACAGGCGATGTTTTCAGTCTGCTGCAAAGTCCGTTAACGTCCGCAAAAGATTCCTGGATTTTGTATAATCCTTCAGCCCCTCGCAGTTCCATGAGAGAGCGCAGATCATTAAGCGAGACCCCAAACTCTCCATCGTGATTGGGCTCTGCCACAGAGTTCTTCACCCCGCTGTATGAGTTGTTAGCCATGTCTCCCGGCTACACCGCGACTCAGCAAGGGTGGAAAAATGGCGTCCCAAAAGGAGAGCTAAATCCTCAGGAGACCAATGCCAGTAGTTCCCATAAACAGCTGACGTCCTTCAGAGGAGGAGGAGGAGGATGCCCGACTGCAGGTGGCAGGACTGGGATAATTCACAAGCCATTCTCCTCAGCCCGTGGCGTTGCTTTCATTGCGAATGAAACCTTAAACAATCAGCCCAAGGACCTGCAAAAAAAAGAAAAGAATGTTTGAGTATAAATAATAATAATATTCATTTTACTAAATGTGCAAATCCCCAACTAGATAATAGATGCGTTTGATGATTTCAAAACAAAATGTCAACAAAAAAAAAACACCTTAAGTTTAGAAAACTCCCCATTGGGCCTGAACTTAGTAAGAACGAACTCATTGGCTGAGTTTCAAGGTGACATGCTACCCACTTTTACAGGCACAAGTATGTGGGTAGCGTGGGAACTGACCTGCCATCTTAACTATGTGAGACAAAAAAAACCTTCTCCCCCAACATTAGACATGGCTTTTTCGAGCACCATGAAAATGCTTTGAATTTGGAAACTCATGGAATAGAGCAAAACTGAAAAGAGTCTATTAAGTGTTAATGTACAGATTTCACTGCCAGAATGACTTAATTATATAGTCAGTCAATGCTGAATAAGTTCTGTGTTTGAGAGCAATGGTCAAGGTCATAGGTTCAATTCCCAGGGAATGGACATTCACAAACTGATTAAATGTATACACTGAGATTGAATGCAATAAAAGCATCTGCAAAATGCACAAAATGTAAATGCAATAACTGCACTTGAAGTGACAAAGTGTAAATAAGCCCAATGAGACTGCTTGGACAAATATCTTCATGTACACAAACAAAAGAGAACACTCCATATCTATAACATGCCCACAAACCAAATAACACACACTATCAGACTTTACAGTTGAAACCCACTGGACTTTCAATGAACAATTTCTTTGGGACTATTTTAGTAGATAATAGGGCTAACTAAAACGCAGACAATCAAGACATTGTCTGTCCGAGCACCATACAGCATGTCTCTCCCTAGCTTTTATCAGGAAGATTTCATTAACTTACATTATTAGAATTATAATAAAGGAAATTACCAAGCAGCAGTATGAGTGATCTGAACAGATTTAAGGAGGACCAGACAGTAAATTCAAACTATGAGGATAAGATGATGATTGATGTTGTTGAGAGTGCTTTCGTTCTGTACGCAGAGGTAAAACGTGTAGTAGCCCTCCAGGACTGATTTACTTGCAGTAGTTCATGCAGAGCGTGGAACAGCATGCTTCTCTGTAACAGGCTACCAGCTGGGCTATCAACGTCTCTCACAGCCAATGTCATGAACACTGCAGACAAAAAATTAAGAGACCAATCTTTAGCTAAAACTACTCTCTTAGGTACTGAAACTCTGGACTTGACATTTTTATGAAGCTGCGACAAAAAGTGTTCCTTCCTGCACAACTAAAAATAAACACAGTAAAACATAAAGAGCATTAGCAAATAAAGTCTAAAGTACGCCAGTCAACAAGTTCAGTTTTATCTGTCATTGAAACTGGAAGTGAAAAGGGAAACACCCAAGACAGAGCTTTGCACTGCAACGGCTTAACTGTGTTCCTCCCTTTTGAAGTAGCAACTGGTCCTAGAATGTGTCTGTGAAAACCCGAAGATGGGTTAAAACAGAGCTTCCTGAAATGACTGTCATCTCAGGCATTCGTGGTACACATTTCATTTTCACAGTTCATTCTGACAGTGCAGAAAGAAAAGGCACTGTAAATATCAATGCGTGCAGGTTTCAAGCAGATAACCTCTGTCCTAAACAGTCAACCTCTTTTTTCTCCCAGTTATCATCTATGAGTGTGACTGCACGGCCACGATGAGGGAAGTGCCAAACCTTTGCTTAGCCGTGACAGTTTCAGGTTGCAGAGCAGGTCACATGTCACAACAGTGGAAAATCATTGTGATTGGATCTTCAAACCAACAGCTAGCACAGTATGGTTGAGCAACAGTAATGTTAACCCTTGCCATTCAAAGCTAGAGGACAGTTTTGGACCTGCACCTGTGGACTGCCTTAAGCCTAATAATTTAAGCATCATATCATATACTCATATTATATTTCTGATGGTCCTCACAAAGAAACAGGCATTTATGCCTGGCATTGTGTAATTTCATGCATTTAGCCACCATTCTATCCACCCTAAAAACTATACACTATGCACCTGTGGATAAATAGGCAGGTTCGCATGAGATCTAAGTGCTCCCTAATGACAAAATGTAAAGTTGCAAACCTAAGAAAACTTAAGGAAAACCCTCTCGTTCTTGGTTGGCAATTGGAGACCCTACACTGTACAAGCCAACTTCACGCTAGTCAGGAACAGCGATTCCAGGGATCCCTCTGCAGTAGAGCTGTCGGTAATGGGGTATTTTTAGCAGCCTCAGACAGCCCATCCCCCTTGCTGGCTGTTGCTGAAATGGGTCAGGCCATTTCTATGTGGAGGGTACAATGGCAGACACCCCGCCTTACTCATGCTACATGGTTCAGAGCACTTAAGGCCACTTCACACCACAGACTGGGCACTTCTAATATACCCTTAGACACTGATCCTGCCAACTCACAGTAGCCTGCCACCCACTCAACCACACAAAGCACAACTCCTCAAGAAGAACCTGAATGACACCTCCAAAACAACAAAAAAAGTATCCTTCAAGCTGAAAAATAAATTGCTTCATATTTCTAGGGCACAGAGATTTCTGTGATGCAGAAAACATGGAATCCAGTCATTAAAATGGAATGTACTGTACAATGCGAAATGTCACGGAATTTGCCACAATTTGGATGAATAAATCAAAAGTAGGACTATAGATTGCCATTTTAAAAAGTCTGAACATTTTTATTACATTATAAAGCTCAATCCAGAAGAAAATAAAACAATCCATATGGCACTCTTGTTGTTAAAGAAATTGTAATAAATTATTTAATAATTAATCAAGGATTAATAAAATGGAAAACAGAATTTGGTAAATAAATAAAACCGATTTCAAAAGGGCCCTAATTATTCTTTCTGCTTTGTTAGATGAGCACAGTGGGAAAACTATAAAAATGCAAACAGCTGGCCTACGTACTTAAAAGCTCAGTGCTTTCGTGTTCTCACCAGGGCCTAAAACAGCATATCTAAAGAAGTGATTTTAAAGAACAGAAACCTTTAAGTTGATTGTTATGGGTGCCATTCACAGCACACAAGCCATCCATTTGCTCCGACCCCTGCCTCCATGTCTGACACTGCACAGTAAATCAGAGATGACTCGAACCATTTGAAGTGATGGGCATGATGAGGCTTCAGAATTTATATTTGCTTAACTTATTGAATGTCACTTGGTGAATGGATGCGGGCATGACCGACACGACTAAAGGTTCTGTTTCTGTCCAAACACAATCTGTTTATATTTAGATGCACACTTTTTAAAGACAGCACCTGTAAGCACCAGTCAAAGAGCACTGCTTCCACATTCCTTTGAGGGGGGGAAACGGGATTTCACTAACTGTTTTTACTGAGCATCAAGTTGGGTGCATTGAAAATAACACATCTGGTTGCAAATTTACCCCAGTCATTTAAGGTAGAAGAAAATATACAATATTGTTCTTATTTACAGACCTCATTTAAACTGAGGACAGAGAACACATTTGCCCCTAAGATGGCCATTTAATCTCTGTCATCAACATTTGATTAAGGCATAAAGCATGACGCTATACAGTAATTAAATAGCAACATTATTCAAATGTACTTAATAGCACAGCCCTCTATTTTTAGCTGTTTATAATAGCTTATGAGGGGTTGAATGTCACCTCAGATTAATGTGACACCAAGGCAGTGGCCTCTTACATAAACAATACTAGAGAGAGGGGCTAAGATACCCTTTTTCCATTCTAGTCATTCTGGAACACATTCACATTTACTTAATATAATATAACGTTACAGCTTTTACTACAAGCGTTGAACAAAGCCATGGCCAATTTGTTTGACCACACTGTTTAGTTTGATCTCGTTGGAGGTACAACCAATATCTATAATCAAATAACTTTATTTTTGTGTGAACTGTCCCTTTAAGCTTGGCGTATTCGTGTCAACAGTTGTAGTATAGAGTCCTAATTCCTAACTAATTTGTTTAAGCTTGCCCTACTCAAACCAATTAATTATTCTGAGCATTAGGGTTTACAATGTAATTACAAGCATAAATAAAAACAATATAACAAAGTTATTGTAAAATAGCACTTTCGTGTTCACTGTATAAATTAAATATACATTAATCTTTGTTTTGTTGGTTGATTAGCATTAGTGACACAGATCGCTGCAGAGCTAATGCACCGATCCAATATACTGATACACATCCGATTTCTGTCCTGGTCCGTATACGGATCATGGATGAACTACGCTCCGTTACACCCCTTCTACGGTGCAATGCATCGTTCCAACATCCATTAGGAAAACTCCTTTCTTAACTAAGTCGGCATTTAATGGAAGTTTCAATAGTATTTTCTTCCCTATTGTGACATATATCCGGCTTCTTGAACAAGAAAAAAATGTAGGGCGGGACTTGACTTTGTCCTTTGGGAATTGATTGGATCATGTAATTTGCCATGATCTCATGCGAGTGCAGGTTGTCCCGCCCTCACGCCGATAAACACGTCATCGGAGAAGAGATGTCGTTGCAAGATGGAGGGGGGAGTTATTTTGATAAAAGATTACAAGGGCACATGAAGTTCATAAAAAATATTGATGTGCACAGACAAATCATTTAATAATAAAATGCAATGTTCCGTAAAAAATATGCATTTCGATTCCATGGTGCAATCTGCTAGAATGCTCTAAGAACATGTGCTTACATTAAAACACAATACACGTTTTCCATCAATATAATATATAACATTATAATATGCCAATAATAATATATGCGTGACATTAAGATTAATCCTAATCATCATTTGCATGCAAGCTGCTTCTCACAGAGCTTAAGTAAAAAATCTACTATAAAGCTTTAGGAAAAATACTCCATTGCATATTAATATATATGTAAAGAAAAAAATAGATATTAAATCAATATACAACTGGGCCATGCTCATACATAACAGTCCAAAGGCCTCTGAAGCTCACTTGACAGTCAAAGGTTAGTTTATGTTAAGGGTAAATCATTAAAAAATGAAACCATTACTTAAGTCAAATCATATATTTCCATCCTGCAATAAATCAGAAAACACTTTTTAACAAAGACAGCTGTTGCAATATGGACAACTTTGCTCTGAAGAATACTGAATGGCAACAAAATTCTCAGTATTTGCTTCGAATTTGTCTCTGTTATGCATCAGGAACTGTTGTTATTACAATGACTTAATATGTTCACCACAAACACATTTAAATATCAATTTCCTAAGTAGTGATATCAAAGGTCAGCGTACACACTACACAAATAATTTGTGTAGAAGACCAAAAAAAAGGGCACAAATACACCCTTACGATTTGAGTTAGAGAAAGCTGAATATACACTGAGACTCAAGGTCAAATTCAGCATTGCTGTCATTCAGCGAGGCATTATCATGGGCTGCAAAAGCTTAAGCAAAAAAGCAACAAGGCAGCGAATGATGTACGCTAAGAAGCAACAGAGACCTGACACGCTATTTAAACGCACACCGGGGTCTATCTAGAAATTCTAGGTGCCATATTCAATCTCAACACATTAGGCAGACAGTAGACGCAATAAGTCAGCCGATTAGATTGGGTACATTGTGTTTTGCACATCTGCTCCTTCAAATACGATCCTAGCAAATTTGACGTGTCGCACAGCGCTTGTTCCAGTCTCCATGCCCAGTCACACATGACAGGAGGAATTAGGACTGTATACTACAACTGTTGACACGAATGCACCAAGCTTAAAGGGACAGTTCACACAAAAATAAAGAAAAATGATAATTTACTCACTCTAATGATGTTTGTTACACACCTTACTTTCGTCACAATTAAATAACCGATAACCAGTGACCCATACATGTTTCCATACAATGAAAGTGAATGGTGGCTGCGGCTGTCATTCTGACTAACATCTCTTAACACGAAAGTCACACGGCTTTGGAACAACATAGTGGTGAGTAAATGATAACCCATTTGCCATTTTTGAGTCAAATGGCATTTTAACGTTGGTTAAACGAAAATTGTTGTAAAACACATAGCGAAATGCGATAACTGACAAGCAGGTAACGTTAATGGTTCGAAAGGCAAGTTGACAGCTGAAGCGTCCTCGCATTTGGCTTTAGCCTGCTAGTCTCAACTCAAGTCATCCTGTCAAAAAGGGTGCACGGTTTTAACCAGACCAACATCATATCTTTCCCCGCAACTGAATGGGTCTCCAACTTTCAGTCGCAATTCAAACGGTATTTTTTTAGTAAAACCCTAAAAATACCCGACTGGCTAAAGTCACAAGCCACCGACCGTCCGACGGACAGAGACGGTCGCTTAACAAGTTGGCTCGTTTGACACAGCATTTCATTGCAGCGATCTGTCATTAAACGACAAAACGCTCGTGTAAAATAGGAAATCGTCGCTTAAAATGCAAGAAAATCACAGAGATTGTACTTCTAGTGAGCTCGTATTCTTATATCATGGACCGAATGACAGTCAAGGGTTCTGTAACGGTAACAACGCGAGTCTTTTATTTGAGGGCTTTTAAACGACTGACTGCGGTTAAAATAGCATGGTCACCCGGTATAGTATAACGAGTAAAAAACCAACACAAAATGTACAATCTCCAATCTGTACATTTTAAATTATGTTAAAGCTTCGAATTATATATTTCAACAGGAGTATTTCGAAAATACACGCTGTTTCGCATGATCGAATCTGTAGAATAGAAACGAGGCGCGCGCAGTCGAACACATTTCAGAAGCTTCATACGTCAAAAGCAACTTTCCAGCGTGCACTACACATCAGCCCAGCATCTCAACATGGTGTGATATATTAAAACCCCATTGATTTTCCACACACCCCCTCCCCTGCAGTGACAATAGGCAGGCGTGGGTTAAAAATGCACAGCAGCCTGGTCGCCTTCTTGCCCCTTTCTCTGCCTGCTACCAACTAGCAGGAGTTGCCTAGCCAATTTGGCTAGCTGATAATAACGCAGGCTAACGGAAAGCACGGTGGATGTAGACAATCAGCAAAGAGGAAGCAAAAAAAATGGTGCATTTCAAATGCAGTAAAACCACAAGCATGCATGCGAGAAATGGTGAAATTACACTCACAAAGCTCTCCGAACGGTGCCTCAGAGATCCCCCTCACTCTCTCGGTCTCCCTCAGACTCACTCTGCCGTCTATCTAGCTCTTCCAATCTGCAGAGAAATCCCTCCCACAGCCTCGCGTAGCCTGAGACATGTGATGAACGTCAGGAGGACGGGCAGTGACAAACAGGACGATCCTCATTGGCTGAGACGTGATGTCAATCACATTGGGCGCACCCTCTGCTCAGCGTCCGCGCGCATTAACATAATTTATAAAGATGTTCCTGAGACCGGTTAAATGTAAAATAACTTGTTCCGCGTTGTTGTTTATTTTAACCTAATAAACGGCACGCTTCAGCACGTGCTGGCGTGGTTTAGCCCCGCCCACTGTCACGGACGAGACTTCCCCGGAGGCTAATTAAACCTGACGTCATTCTTTCCATGACGTCGCCCGTTCTCTCTCCACGATTCTGGTCTTGTTTGATTCGCAGTGCGCAGAAACTCATTACTCTCGCTGATCTGAACCGGATTGATGAATTCTGCAGCCTTGATCCTCGCTCACCTTCTTTCCCAAGAATAAGCATTAAACATTTGTCAGTTGGTTAACATATCAATGTTGGTAATTTGTATGATCACGTTGAGTCTCCTTCATTGAAATAGATAACCAACCAGAAAGATTGTGCAAAAAAAAAAAAAAAAAAAAAATAGTATATATATTGTGCAATCCTGTGTTCTTTCTTTCTGATGCTAATAGAGTGAACTTGCATGACCAGCATTTTTTCTCTCTGCATTTTCATCAAACTCACGTCCACTGAAGCACTTAGTTTAGCAGCCAGAATCTTCTTTTAAAACTGCAGTACAAGCCCTGGAGCATTTCTGTTTGTAAACTTTTGTTATAAAATATACCAAGTTTTCATGTCAGGGACTACCTGTACCAGAGGCAAATGGAAATCTTTAGTTAGGTTAAAAAAACAACAACCAAAAAAACACTTAAATATCAAGCAAGAAATTAAACAAATACTGCAATTTCTCATTTTACAAGCAGATACCACAGCTTCCTCTTCATCATATATAAATGGCATTTCCTGTTCCTAAGGTGGAGTGCTGCAAGACTTATAATGTAACAGTCAAATCTAATCTATTAAGATTGTGATAAAATACTACTTATTGTAAGATGTTTAATTTTTATAAAGCAGCGCCTCTCTTTACAGATGAATGCTTTGTCACTTACATGTAAAAGGATTCAGACTATAAAAAAGTAGCCTTCCCCAAAAAATAAGCTCAGCTCTTTCCAAATGTTCTTAAACTAAGCCTGAAATTATTTTGAAAACGTTATTCCTAAAAGAAACAATGTTACCAGAAGACTTTTTTTTTTCCACACCTAACAAAATCCCCATGTACTTCTTGTGGTTGTTTCTTTACGACCTCGGCTGTTATGACAACCATTGTTGACATTTGTTGATCATGGTCTACTTGAAAGATGATGCCAAAAGTAGAAATGTGTTGTGGGTTTCCCCATGAAGGCCTCAAAAGAAGCCACATTATGCATCTTCATTCTGTTTTTTTTTCTTCTGTAACCGCTCTACTGACATTTCACATGTGGCCATTTATTCAAAGTGACTTGCAAATGATGAACAACACACATATGTCCGTGTCTATCTATTTCTATTATATTTATAATACATTTAAATTAGAAAATGTTAAATATACATACATACACGAGTATAGAACTTACCTCAGTATGTAGATTGTTATGATGTTATGATTCATGTTGTGTATTCAACTCTGCTAATTCGGAAGATCATTCCTCTATGATGGGGTATGATGTTTTTTGACCCTAATTTATATAAACATACTGTAGACGTGCTTCCATCCAGTAGCAATAATTCTCTGGTTTTACAATAACACAAGCACCTCTGCTCAACCTGGGGGAAAAACCAGCACAGTTGATGAGAAACAGGAAGCAGCGTTTGTGCTGGGTGCCATTGACAAGATCCTTTCACCTAATGGGTTTTATCATTAACAAGAAGAACAACGCTGCACAAGACCATCTTCAATCCTGTAGAGCATTGGGTTTTGATGTATGGCAAAACTTCAACTTTGTAAGACCTTTTAACTTGCGTTAAGCAAGGCTCAAAGGTTTGCTAATGTTCAATCAGATAGTGTGGGGAGGGGAGGTGTCAGTGAGTGCATTGATTGCTCAGCTTTTGTGCAAGCAGCTTGTAAATGTGGAGCATGTGATGCATATGTTTGCTGTAGGAATCTCTGGAGTAACCAGTCGATCTATTAGGGCAGACCACTTTGGTTTGCACCATATTTTCATCTAAAAGTAACATATAGCCCTTGCTAAGCCACAAGAGCTAGGCTGACAAACAAGTTTCCTTTCAGGCTTCCAAAACCTCTGAAGTAGAGAGGACATGAATCCTATTTTTATTTGATCCAGTTTCCACTTCTGAGCTTTTTATTTGGAGCCGGCACACAGTGATGCCTGGCCCTTGAGCAGATGTCCCAGCAGCGTACAGATCCGCAAGTGCAGCCGCCTTTTTGACTTCTTAATCATATTCTCATACACAGATTCATATGACCATTCACCTACAACCCACAGTGTCAAAGTTTAGGGTTTCAGGATATAATTTCATTTTAAAAATGCACAATGGACTGTATTGTGAATTGACTGAATATACAACAAACATTTTAATGTATGACCTTGCTGGACACTAGGCCACACATACAGGCAGCACAGTGATGTCAGAAGAGGGAAGTTAGTGGCGGTCTTGCTTTCATATCAAGATCTAAGATAAGAATGTTTGCTTAACAAGAGGTTCAGAATGAAAAACAAAGCATTCTTGGGTCAAAAATACTTCAGAGAGGAAAAACTCCTCAGGGCAGGCAATGATGTTGTCATAAGACTTTAAAGGTGTCACTGCTGAAACTCTGCAAAAATTGACAAACGAGGTGTCATGGAATGTCAGCTGACTCAAAGCAATGTGGAAGAAGAGGACAGTGGAAATGGCTCATTATAGCAGACTTGCACAAGAGGGTCCAGTACCCTATCAGTCAGGACACACACACTATTATTACTTCCTCTGGTTATCAATCTCCCTTCTCCGGCATTCTGGCTCTTACTACAGCTTTTTCCACATTGTCAGCACAGAACTTCCTTCATTCTGTTGGGACACAAAAAAGAAAGAAAAAGCAGAGAGAAAAGACAGAAGTCAGACTATATTTAGCATTATAATAACATATAGTGGCCTCAAAAGGTTTTTGGATGCTTAAGCCAAACTTAAAATAAATAAAATGTAATATTTTTTACTTAAATACTTTTAACTGTCCTGAGGTGAGATTTAGTTTCCCTCAATTTCACACAGATGCATCAGAATAAGCACAAGTGTGAACATGTTCCAGATATGTTTGACACCAGAAAGTGTCCAGATATTTTGTTTAAGTTCAGGTTTCTTTTTAATTTAATACTTTTATTCAGCAAGGATGCATTTAAAAGTGAAAGTAAAGACATTTACATTGTTATAAAATTTCTGTTTTAAATAAATGCTGTTCTTTTCAATGTTCTATTCATCAAAGAATCCGGTAAAATTTGTTTCACGGTTTACACACACACAAACTTTTTCAACTTTTCATAACAATAAAGAAAAGTTTCTTGAGTACCAAATCAGCATATTACAATGATTTCTGGAGGACCATGTGACACCGAAGAAAGGCGTAATGGTGGCTGAAAATTTGTTGCTGGTTGATTACATTTTAAAACATATTCAAATAAAAAATGTATTTAAATTGTAATAATATTTCACAATATTACTGTTTTTGCTGTATGTTTAATCAAATCAATGCAACCATGGTGAGCATTAGGGAAGCATAATTAGCATATTGAACAGTATACTGTTTTGCTGTGTTATTAAAATCTTACAAAGTTATTTTTGCTTGAAAATCATTCCTATTATTTATATTAAACATCACTCTGTTTGATAAGCTATTTAATGAAATAAAAGTCATGCATTTGTAAGTGCCCAAACACTTTTTGGGGCCGCTGTATAATAAAATACCAGGAGATATGTACCTAAAAGCAATGTTTAGTGGCAAGACGCGCTATTACATTTCAAACATTCTAAATCCTATAAACATGGGGTTACCGCTATCAGACGATGCGATTGCTGTAGTGTGCGAAACAGGCATGGGTTTCTATTGGGGCAGGTTGTTTGGGGTTAGAGAAACTTAATGAGAAACATTCATTATACCAAACATGTCATCAGACAGCTGTAATTACAATAATTGTCTCTTCTCAGAAATACTACATGGGGGTGAATATGGGGTTTGTGTGGTGTAAGACTCCTTAATTAAGTCAACAATAAACTCCCCTCACTGTCAGAGCGACAGTTATTTTCCATGAGAGAGTAGAAATAGCGTTTGCACAAAGTGCGTCCCGCAACATACAAAATGCAGTCTGATGATGCTTCATTGAGTGTAACGGCAGTCAGGGCGGGGTTATGGGATATGTTAAAGTATAACATTCAAAAATTAGGCCGCAAGAAAGATGTTAGTCTGCTTTGGGCAGGGGCATGTTTGTGTTTCCAGTTTCCAGTGGAATTTACAGCAGGAGCTCAGAGGTGAATGGCCCAGTGGAGAAAGACTGCAGCTGTACACTCTCTCTCTCTCCATGTGTGTGTGTGTGTGTGAGAGAGAGAGAGAAAGAGAGAGAGAGAGAGGGGGGGACAAAAACACAGACAGTGCTCTTAGTCAGCACTGGACCGGCAGCCGGGCCGGGGGGCCAAGTTTCCACTTGCGAACAATAATTCACCTCAAGTGCCCAGTGTGTATGTGCATGTGTGTGAGAGGACATCCCTCATTCTGAGGGCTACAGAAGTGCCTCTCCCGCCCCAACATCCTCCAGTTCCAAACCAAATGATTTCCATGTAAAGATATTTACACTTAATGTTTGAGTGTGTTTGTGGATGTTGTGTAATGGAAGCAGAAGACCTTCTCTTCAAGAAGGTCAATGAACCACCATGGACACTTACACACAGTGAGGGTGGAATATTCCGGGTTCAATACAAGTTAAGTTTAGTCGACAGAATTTGTAGCTCAAAATATAATTTCTCATCTCTCATTCTTTGAAAAGAGCAAACAGGGTTATGCCAAGGCACTTACAATGGAAGTGAATAGAACCAATTTGTAGAGTAAAATAATGTTAACATGCATATTGTTTATGTTTTGTGGATACTATTGTAAAAATTTTTGATTGTCCCCATTCATTTCCATTGTAAATCCCTCACTGAAACCAAGATTTTGCTATCTTTGAAAAACACTTAATTGTGTTCTGTGGTATGCCACAATTTATGTGGATTTAGCCTAACTCTTGAACTCAGAATACTCCATAAAGGGAGTAAATACTCCAATTCACACAGAACACGTTTGGGTTTTTTTGTGTGAAAAAGTGTAAGACGAACAGTGTAGTAGGAAAATGTAGATTTTTGATTACAAATTTAACTTCTTTTTACTTGTGCGCCTCATTTTAAGTCATGGGATGCTCCAAAAGAAGCGAATCCAACGTTCAAAGGTGTATTTAGTGCAAATTTACATAGGAAAAACAATGTAAAAGCAGCTCACAAAAACACTGTGTGTAACACTACACATCTTGTCTCTAAATCAACATCCAAATAGTGACAATTACTATCATACTGATATTAAGGCCTTACAGCCTGTATTCGTGTTCAAATGGAGAGCCATATGGGTGGCAGTGTCTGTACTACCAAATTGGTTGAAACAGATGTATTTATGTGTCATTTTCACCTTGATTTATTAGAGCGTCTGGCTACAAACCAAGTGACCAATCAACCATCATTTACTCCAGTGTCACAACATTAATAAAGCAAACCCTCGACTGACCTGAGCTGGTTATGCTGCTGGATTGTTGAGAATTGGAGCAACTCTTATGGGAAATAGGCGCCCTTTCGTCTCACTCTCTTCCTTTTCCCATGGACTATATACCTGATGTGAGCCATGAGGGAGAAGAGAGGAAGAGGAAACGGGGTAATACAGTGGGCCTTCACATCCTGAAGTCCAGTAACACAAACACACATGCACATGCCTCCTTATCTGTAACAGGTATTGGTCCTGACCTAAGAGCATTATATGGGAGAGGAAGAGACAAAGATTGAGATAGATGATAAAAGAGGGTGAGAGAAAAGATACACTTGAATTGGATATTAGATAAAGATTTTAGATAAAGATATCCAAATTAGACTCATTTAGTTTCTATTTCTGTAGTGTTGTGAGCCCCGCTCACTCTGAAATCTCATTGGTCCACAATTCTCTACATCAAACATCAAAAAGTTTCTGATTGGCTGTTGTGTTCTGGTCGTATGAGGGATCATTCCTTTGTTACACCCTCACCTATGTATGTTTTGTTACATACATCTTTTTGAAGCATTGAAATCAATGGATTTGCAGCAGTTTTTGACTCAGTTATCTCCAATGTGTAGGCAACCTTATGCTCCACACACACCCATGCCACACACGGTGGCTACAGCAGCATCTGTTCTGTGCTGAATGAATGAGTGAGCGTGTGGTTAACCCATAAACAGAGCAGGGAGAAAGTGGAAAGTGAAATGAAAAATGGTGCTGCGCTCAAACTAGACCACAACCATTTTAAGAGCTAAAATTTTCCTACCTCTGACCACTGGAACAAGCAAAGTGACTACTAGTGCAGCAAAATGATGGCCTGTACTTTGAAAAGATTTGAATAATTTTCTCTGATTCATTCATTCTCAGAATTTAAATTCATATTTGAATTTTGGTATCGTGAATCAAAAGGCGTATTGTTGTAGCTTCTTTCCTCTTGTGATCTCATGGGCCAGTCAAAGCTCAGGCAGAGGCAGAGGAGGGATCAATGATTCTACTACAAAGGAGCGAGTGCAGTCAACTGGAGCTTGAATTATTCCCTCTCTGAATTCACACTATAATCACGCCAGCCCTCGGCACAGCACTCTGCAGTGCCATTGTGATTTCTTGTGATGAAGAACACAGTGTAGATTCACATCAGACAAAGAAACTGTCAATCAGACTGTCATCCTTTAGTATCTAAGTGCAGCATGATTGTAGACCAATGACAATTCGTGGTGGGCGGAGCTACCCTCTTTTTGTCAACTATTTCTACTTTTGTTTGTAGGCCTATACTGTGTTCAAGTGCAGTAGTGTAGAGCGTGGATGAGTGTTTTCATCTTCAGATTGAGGTTATATGTTTAATAATCAGCATTTGAGCAGTGTTCAGTTATTGTTGGAAAGCATATTTTTTAATGGAAAATAGGATTGTGAGGATGGTTCATTCTGGTAAACCTGATGGCCCCAAACCAGACAGAGGCTGCCAGAGGTGATTGCTAAAGCCGCCCCACTGGTTCTGCTGTAAATGCCCTTTTGTTTAGCATGGCCAGCATGTGGGGAGTGAGAAATCACTGTCCATTACATGGCATCTTTCCTTGTTAAGCTATAGTTTCCACTCCCTTAATGAATAAACACAAAAAGAGAGTCATAATTTCATGAAGTTATAATCCTAATGGTCTCCATTGATTTTTAAAAGAAATGAAACTTTTTTTACATAAAACATTTTGTGATGTAAAATAAAAGTACAAGAAAACTGCATAATTAATATAATTTTAACATTTAATGTCTAACCTATAAAAAAATACACACAAAATATATTATTATAATACATAAATATATAAAATAAATAACAAATTTCCCCAAAGTTTAACCTCTTGTTTAAAAAGTTTAGCAAAAAATACTCTTTGGCAAAAGAACATATACAGTATATTCGACATTGCCATTGAATATTTGATAATTTGATACATTTTTGATACAAGTCCAACCCATACCTCTAAATAAATAAATAAAACAAACAAATATTATATTATATTATATTATATTATATTATATTATATTATATTATATTATATTATATTATATTATATTATCTAAAAGTCAAAACTTGATTCTTCTAAGAATACTCCCAGTAGGTTTGCTGGCTGTATCCAGATGCTTCAAAAGCCTAAACCCCCTGGGAGACCTACAGAAGGTGTAAAAGCATTAAGACAGGCCACTCTTTGTTCTGTACAGTGAAGGAAAAATATCACATCCCTGTTTGGAAAGTCACTGCCAA